GAGGCTTGACATTTCCTGGGGGTTGGTGTTTAAATTTCATTTCTGCAAAGGCTGTAGCTGACAGTCAAACTCTTGCCTGGGTAAAGACTGATTTACTAGATCCTGTGCTTCTCCTTCCACTGTAGGTAGCCAACTACGGCGTAGGAGGCCAGTATGAGCCTCATTTTGATTTTGGAAGGGTAAGTCCTGTTTTGTCTTCACTCTTTCTTCTTCACAAGCGCTGTGTTTCTCTTTTTCAGGTGGCAAATTATGGAGTGGGAGGACAGTATGAGCCCCACTTTGACTTTGCACGGGCAAGTAAAGAGCTGGAGGAGAGCTAGACCTGGTGAAGCCTGGGCCTCTGGGCTGGGGCACACTCTCTGTTCTTCAATGTGTATTAAATTTTGTAGCTCTTCCACTTTCCTAATCCATGTCCGTGGAGAAAGCCCTCTAAACCACCAGCTGAACCTGTGGAGGTTGCTACCTGTAAACTGAGTGCCAGCAGACTCCTGACAACTGGAAAAAGTCTTATCTCACTGTCCTTAATTTTTTAATTGGATTTAAATTCCCCACCTGTTTTATTCCAGTTTAAATTGCAGACTGCTGAAATTCAGTTGGTTATTTACTGGGCATAATTCTGTGTGGTTTAACCCTTTCAGATTAACCTTAACCTTGCCAATCCCAGCCACCAACTCTGAATCAGGATCTCTGCTCTGTAAGCACCTGCTCCAAGGCATTGCAAGCAATTAACAGGTTTTGTTTGGAAACACTAGGTTCCCAGGAGTAACAGCTGCTGGAATTTCAGTGCACACAAACTGTGGTCACAGGGGGTGGGTTTAAAAAGAGAGGTGTGACAGAAGTTGGTATCAAAACTCCTCAAAATGGGGGGTTCATTCTTGTAAGTTGAGTGCTGGACACCTCTTAGTTGCCTGGTTGGTCACTGAGGCTTCCTCCCTGCTTCCCAGCTGGAATCCAGAGTGGAGTGTGGCAGGGAGGTGTCCCAGCTGACCCCTGGGTCTGAGAGCTGCCCTGGCTGCTGCCAGGGACAAGGGGGATGAGTGTAATTAAATAATTCAGTTTGCTGTGAGGAGGATTTATAGCCTCAGCCTCAGACAGCACAGTTGTTGTTACCCATTAGAAATCTGGGCTTAATGCCCTCCCTTCCTGTCCTACAGAATTTCAAAGCGCCTGGTTTATTTAAATTGATATGTTCACTCCTATTGCATTCCTCCCCTCCTTCCAAATCGAGGGGTTGGATTAATTCTTCTGCATGAGTCTGTTCTGTGCTGCTGGCTCAGCAGCTGTGTGTCACCGGCTGCTCTCAGCAACCAAAAAGAAATGCTGATGGAATCTGCCTGCTTTTGTTCACAGAAAGATGAGCCAGATGCTTTTAAAGAATTGGGAACAGGCAACAGAATTGCTACTTGGTTGTTCTATGTAAGTGATACATTTCTGCCATCTGTCACTGCATATTCTATACCATGGAATGATGTAATTCTGTTTTTCTTTCATTCTTTTTTACTGAAGGGACTTGCAAGTGAAACAGCCACTAACTTTGTGTTAATACATATGGGGGGGGGGTTTCACCCAGACTTTGTGGCTCTTCCATGTGTCTTAAGGAGGATTCTTCCCCAAATTTGAGCATTAGCTTAAGTCATTTGCCTGCCTGTTATTGTGTTTACAGCATGTTCACTGCCTTAACACTCGAGTGGGAGGGACAAGGCTGGGACTGCACTGAGAACAGAGGGGGTTTGGCTTTCTTAGGGGATTTATGTCAAAATTAAATTTCATTTTTACTAAAAAGTGAGATTTTATCAGCCTGAACTCACCTGTCCTTCCCCACCTGTTCAGATGAGTGATGTGTCAGCAGGGGGAGCCACGGTCTTCCCTGAAGTGGGAGCCAGCGTTTGGCCGAGAAAGGTGAGCAGGATTGATCCAGCAGATAAATCCACTCCTCCCCACCTACCCAAAAACAGAGCTTGAAAATGAACCTTTAAAATAATTGTAAGCACCTCTGTGCTGTCATAACAGTGCTATGATTTTCCTTAAGTGCAGCAACTGGAGCTGTGCTGCTGATTCCAAGGGCCCTGATAGTCCATGTGTGGATGCAAATGCAAAACATTTGAATACTCCAAAACACATATTGAAAATACTCAAATCTGTGAGTTGATTGAGTCTTGAGGCATCTGTAGGAAATTCTCCTGTCAGTTTTTTCCTTCAAGCAAGGCTTGCCTTTATTGGCCTGCTTGCTGCTCAGCTTTAGTAAATAATCTTGGCTTTCTTAAACTGGTCAGGAGTTGAATGAAACTGGCTTAGGATTTACAAAAAAAAATTAAGAGCCAAGTATATAGACATACAATAAGTCAAAGGAGACTTATTCCTGAGGAAACACATGATAGAACACAGAGAAGAGCCTTCAGTTTTAAAGGAGGCTCTGGAACACAAATGCACCTGCCTTTGCCTTAGTGTGGGTTGTACAGAGCACACACCAAGGGTGAGTGTTCCCTGCCATTCCCAGGGAACAGCTGTGTTCTGGTACAATCTCTGGTGTGACAGTGTGTGTTGTACAGAGCACACACCAAGGGTGAGTGTTCCCTGTCATTCCCAGGGAACAGCTGTGTTCTGGTACAATCTCTGGTGTGACAGTGTGTGTTGTACAGAGCACACACTAAGGGTGAGTGTTCCCTGCCATTCCCAGGGAACAGCTGTGTTCTGGTACAATCTCTTCCCAAGTGGAGAAGGCGATTACAGCACGCGACACGCAGCCTGCCCGGTGCTAGTGGGAAATAAATGGGGTGAGTACCTGCCTCTGACCTGAGTCTGGGCTCTGCTGGGGGCATGGCTTGGTTTTATTTTTCCTTTGAACTTCAGAAATTACATTATTTGTAAAGAAATATATTTAATTTACTTTATCTACCTCATATCTCTCTATATGTTAAATATATATAGTAGCATATTTCATTATGTGTATATAAAGGAAATTAATACTATATCCACTTTAAGACTTTTTGCAGCTATGTCTACTTTAAGAGAATTTTTGTAGCTTTGCTGCCATACTGGAAGGGTTTTTGGTTGGTTGGTTATTTTTATTAGACTAACCTCACAGATTTGTGTGTGGCAGTGGGGGTTGGAATGAGAGAGTCTTTTAAGGCCCCTTCCAACCCAAACCATTCTGTGATTAAAACCCTTTAGAAAATTAAGATAATCCTGTACTTAACCAGAAGCTGACCTAGAGCACATTTAGCTTCAGAAGAGGAGCTGGCCATGTGCAGTGATCCAATGCCTTTGTGTCTTTGCAGTCTCCAACAAGTGGCTCCACGAGCGGGGGCAGGAGTTCCGCCGGCCGTGCACGTTATCGGAGCTGGAATGAGGCAGCCTGGGCTCCTGAGAACTCGGGGTGTGGGAAATGCACACACCTGCCAGTTTACAACTGACTAACAAACACTCCACTACAGGTTCACCCCGCCCAGCTCAGCTGTGGACAGGACAAACGTACTTTTGGTTCCCTCCAAATCCCCCCCCGAGGTTTATCAACAGAAAATACCGAGGTTGACAAGTGTTACTGGAAAGAAAAAAAGGACAAAATACAGATGAGGGCCACAACTTACAGTGGTGTTGTGTGTGGTGTTCCTGTCACCATCATCCCTCTGAGCAGTGCAGGCAGCCAGGGGTTGTCTGGAGTTCTCCTCACACCTGCCAGGCTTAGGGCAGGATGACTGTGTGGGAGGGCTCCTTTCTAAGGAATGCTGAATTAAACCCATTCCTTTCTTCAATTCCCAGACACTCGACTCTCTGCTTTCCAAGAGTGCCTGACCACTGCAGGCATGCTTTGTTTTTTTTTTCCTCTGGAAAACAGGTTGTTAGCATGTTTTAGCCTGGTTTTCCACTTCCACAAAAAACCCACTTTTTAAACTTGTCTTCCTTCTCAGCCTGGGTGGAGAATTTGGCTCTTAATCTTGACCACATGAGCCAGCAGTTCCACAGGCAGAGTCAGGATGCTTCCACAGTGTCAGAGCAGCCTGGGAACGCCCACAGCCCATCTCCCCTCCTCTTCTGCAATGTTTGTCCACACGAACAAATGCTGCTTTTGTTCTGTCCTGGCAGCCAGCTCTTCCCTCTGCTCCTTGGGCAGCAGGGATGGGGATGTTCCCATCTTCATTAATCAAAATTGTCGTGCCTTAGGACACTGGAATTTCAAATTGGTTCTGAGACTTCAGGTGCTGAGGTAACACAGAGTCCTCACAGAATGCTCCCTGCCCTCATTCTCCTCCCAGCTCTCGAGGTTTCAGGAGAAAGTCTCAGCCTATTTATAGTCCTGAACCTTTTTATGAAGCGGGCTCCCTTTCCTGAATCCTTTCCCTTCCACAGCAGGATTTTTAGCAAACTATCCAAATAATCTCACTAGCTGAGGACAAAAATCAAAGGAAGCTGCACCTGCCTCTACCTAAACAGTCCAATTTTCTGGAAGATGATGATTTTACTGATTTAGGGGTCAAGCCTGAAGTCTTTACCAAGGGAAAAATTCCAATTTTGGTTAATTAGATTTTCTGCCTCAATAAAAATCTTGACAGTTGAGCCAAAACATACAAAATCAATTATTACATGTGCTAGAAATACCTCTGGATTACTGGGAATGCAGTTTAAGGTACTATAGTTGGAGGAACTGCATACTTTCAGAAGATACTTTAAAAGGTCTTTGCTGGAAAAAGAATTGTTAAATTTCTACTGAGCCTGGTAGCAGTGGGATCCACAGAACTGCCCGTCCTTAGCCCTGCACCTTCCTGAATTTTGCCTGGCTTTTGGCAGCTGGAAAACAAGGTCCATCCATAACGTGAGAACACAAAGTCTGCACAGTCCCACCTCACATCTGTACTGCTCATTTACCAAGAGCAGGAGCTGATCTAAATAAATTCACCCCAGAGCTGCGTTAGCAGAGGTGAACTTTGAGCACCAAATTGTAATAATTTTAAAAAACCCCAAACCCATAAGATTTGTGCCTACCTGAGTTTTCTCACTTTTTTCATCTGTCTCTCTTCCTCTCCATTGTTCTCTTCTCTTTCCCATCTCTTAGTTTGTTAAGCTCCAAAAAAGTAACCATGGCTGCAGGTACCTCCTACCATGTCCCTGCAAGTAAAAGGGGACAATGAACAGTGGGAGCAGTTGAGAACTGCCTTTGGGGCATCCATAAATGCTTGTAGGGAAGCCAGTCCGACCTAGTGAAAGAGCACAAAACAAAATCCCTGTATTGCCAACAGGTATGGAAAACACCTGCATTTGCTCTTACTATCCCATCTCTGTTTAACAGTCACCAAAGCATGAAAAAAAACAGAGTTGGGGAATTTTGCTCAGCAGTTCCCACCCTCACCTCAATACCAGTGAGTACTTCCAGTGTTAAACAGCACCAGTCTCAGGCATTGCTTAGGGAGTACAAATCTTCTGGTGTACAACTTTCTAAAGCAGTGAAGCACTCAGATAATTCTTCAGGAAAGAATTTTCTACTTTTGACAATAGAAAATTTTACTTGGTTAAAGGAAAAAAAACCAAAACAATCAAAATTAAATCTCCAATCTGCTGGGATACATCAGGAATATCCCAGATTATGACAACAGGGTTGTCTTAGATTTTTTGAACTGCAGACAATCCCTATTTCCACTCCCTCCACTGCAGTGGTGTCCATGCATCCAATGCTGACTGTGTAAGGGATTACACTGGTGCTGCTGCTTCTGCCTTATCCCATCATTTCTCAGAGGGCTTTTGGATCCCCATTGTGGCTCCTGTGTGAATCTAGTTTTGTATTAAACGTGATTGAAAACTGTCTGGGCTCACAGTGACTGACAACTGCCTTACTGTTACATTTTTTTGTAATAAAATTTTTAATGTAAAAAAAAAAAGTGAATAGGCTTAAAATAAAAGCCACTGCCATTAGCAGTGAGAAATCCTCCACATCCAGCTCTCCTCGTATGTGGCTGCTACGAATCTGATCACACAGAGTTTTATTACCATTTGTGGAAACCAAACTCCTCCATTTCCCTTCACCATCTCACTAGGCAGGTGCAGGAGAGGTTCCTACCCCAAATTCCTGTTCAACACTAAACTTTGTATCTCCACTGGGAACACACAGCACTAAAGGACTGCAAGAGGGGAGGGCAGATAATGCTGGGCTGAACGCAGGGTCAGCTGCTGAGGGTCCCTTTTCCAGGGGTGACAAATCTCTTTCATGAAGCCAGAAGGTCAAACATCCACTTACCCTGGAATGGTTCTAGGGAGGGGAAGAAAATACCAGAGACTCCAAGAGCACAATAAACTCACATGTAGGAAGGTCAGGCTGGCCTCTTCCATGACCCACACCTCTGGGGTCTGTACACCACAGCCATTCCTGGGCTTCACCCTGCAGAGCAGTGGAGCTTGTGCTTAATTCCCATCCTCAGGAACCTGCAAAAAGTACAGCAATGGCTGGTGAGCAGCCTGGATCCTTTTGCCTGTGGAACGGAGCCGTGCGCTGCCCATGGAGCACTTGGCTTGCAGGTAGGGAGGGCATTGGCCCACCACAGCTGATGTGAGCACACATTTGAAATAAGCCTGAAGTGCACCAGCACTGTTTGATTTTGGAAAGGTGATGGGGTTCCACCTCCAGCCACCCTGTGCTGTTGAGCTGCTGCCCTGCCCTTGGCAAGATGGGCCTGGGAGGAAGGGAAGGGCTCTGGATCAACCCTGTCCCACCCTGACTTCCCACCATCCTACCTGGGCTCTTGTGGCACAGCTGCACCTCAAGGGTGACCATGGGGGGGGTCACCAGCATGGGAGGAACCCAGCAAGGGTAAGGACCACAGCAGCTGCAGCTGAAAAGGCAGGGTAAGGTCAGAGATAGGTAAGGCCTGTGAATGTCACAGGGCAGGATGAGATGAAAAGAAAGGAAAGGGTCTGACAAGATCACAGAATCCCAGAATGATTTGGGTTGGAAGGTGCTTAAAACTCATCTAGTTCCAATCCCTGCCATGGGGAGGGACACCTTCCAGTATCCCAGACCTTGTCCAACCTAGCCTTAGTTACTTCCAGGGACAGCCGTAGCTCTTCTGGGCAGCCTCCTCAGGGCCTCACCACCCTCACAATATAGGATTTCTTCCCAATATCCCCATCTATCCCTGCCCTCTGTCAATTTGATGACCTTCTCCCTTGTCCTGTTACTCCAGTCCCTCTCCAGCTCTCCTGGAGCCTCTTTAGTCACTGGAAGGGGCTCTGAGGTCTCTGCCATTTTCTCTTTTCCAGGCTGAACAATCCCAGCTGTGCAGCCTTTCCTCCCAGCAGAGCTGCTCCATCCCTCTGCTCATCCTGGTGCCTGCCCTGGGCTCTCTCCAGCAGCTCCAGGTCCCTCCTGTGCTGGCCCCAGGGCTGGGGCAGCTCTGCAGGTGGGGTCTCACCTGAGCACAGGGGCAGAGGGGCAGAACCTTCTGCAGCTGGGGGAAGGCAGCAAAAAGCTGAAGGATTGCCAGAGGGACGGGACCTGCCCACACACTTGAGCTCGACCCCATTAGGGAGGGGGTCTTTAACCACCCCACCCACCCTCCCCTGGCAGCCAGACTCTGACCTGGCTCGGAGGACTTGGGGATTTCACCATTGACCTGCAGCTCTCCTCTCCCCACAATCCGTGACTCATTGGGCTCCCAAACCGGGCTGTGGAGCAGCCACGGATCTCCCACTAACCTGAGCCACCAGCTGCCTCTTCCCCCTGCTAAACATCCACCAGCAGCTCCCTAAGGCAGCCAAAGCCGATGGAAAAGTAGCTCAGTGCCTCAGTCCCATGTCCCCCCCAGCAGAGTGGCACGGGAAGGAGCCTGGCAGTGAGGAGGAATGCAGCACAGGAGCTGCAGCCTGGCTCCTGATGCGGGGCCAGGAGGGCTTTTCCAGCTCCATGTGGGAAGGGGCTCGGTGCCCCGGGCGCGGGGGACACAGGAGCACAGGGACAGGCCGGGTGCAGTCACCTCTCCCTCCCCAGGGCAGGAACACTGCCAAAAGCTGGGCAGCATCCCTGGGAACGCGGGACTCACCGCGGCCCGGCTGCTCTGTATTTGAGCATTACTGAGGCAGGAATGAATGCACGCACTCAGGAGCTGCCTATCCCGAGGTCAGCACCAGGGTAAGGAACCAGCTGTCAAGAGTTCACCTCCGTGGCAAAAAGCATCTGCACCCCTTAAATCTTCAGAGACAGAAAAGCTGGTGCAGGGAAGGGGTTTTGGTAAGAGCAGTGAGGCCAGAGAACCTGCGGGGGCCCACTGTGCATATCCACGCTCCTCACTGCTGCAGCTGCTGAGCCACTCCCCGAGGGAAAACTGGAGGTCGCTTTTACCCAATCCCACATTTTTCCTGGTCTTCAAGTCTTGCAGTCTGGGTGCAACCGAGGTATTTGCATCTGGACTGAAAAGCTCTCAGGAGACTGGCTCGGGGAGGGAAGGAGGCAGAAGGAAGGAAGGAGAGTGGCTCAATCCCAGGGCAGGGCAAAGGGGCTGCCACGTTATGGAAAAGCAGTTAAACTGCATTGTACTCACCAACCTTTGCTTCGGGACCAGTGACAAACTAACAGGAAACTTTCTGACTCCTCATTACTCAGGCTCTGCCTTCTGCCAGCTGCTCCCTCCCCGCCCTGTTCGGCTTTCCCAATTCCAATTGATTTTGCAAACAAGCCTGGGTGCTCCAGAGCCTCCAGCTCCAGGCTGCATGCCCTGCTCATGCCACATTCCCTGTGGTTTGCCTCCTCTGCAGTCCTGCCAGCATTTTTTCCCTCTCTCTTTGCCTTCAGCAGCGCATGGATCAGTCAGCAGGGACTGAGGGATGACAAAGAAAGCTGGGTTCTGGAATTGCCTCTAGAACAACCCTAAAAGGCTCTACATAAAAGCAGGACACCATGCACAGACACCCAGAGGCTCTTATACATTTCCAAGCTATTCCCAAATAGCTGTTTTGCTCTTTTTTACATTAATTTCTGCCAGGCTGTTGGCAAAGGCTGGGAGCACTGGGACTGTGAAATGGAGTGTCAGGCAGGGCAGGGACTGAACCAAAGGCTCCACTCACTGCAAGACACAGCATGGGACTCCTGAATCCAGTTTGCCCTGCACTGGGGCTGTGAAAACAAATTCCAGTTTGCCCTGCACTGGGGCACTGACAACAAATTCCAGGGACCATTTCCACCCATGACTGACAGAGCAATCCCCAGCATGGTCTGAACAGCAGGAGAGGCCCAAGCTCTCCAGTGTTCCTGCAAGGAAGTCCTCACCTCCCCAGCACTCCCTCTGCCATGTGCCAGGGGTGACACAGATGTCACAAAAGGCTTACTTGAGGCAGGGATTTGCTGATTCCCAAGCTGCCAACCTCCCTTTCCCAGTGTTCTATGCATCTGGGTTTATTTCCCCAAATGCAAAGTTGGTTTGAGGTTCCCCTGGGAGCTCCTGCACTAATAAATGTCACCTCACCCCTAAGTCAGCCCTGGGCCTCAGAACAGGTAGAACAAGCAGGCAGAAGCTGCCTCCACACTATTGCTCAGGAGAGGGACTAACCAGCTTGTTTGCTCCCTTCCCCACTTCTCTGACTTACCTGTCTAAGAAACCAAGACTTGGCTGTAGTTCCCCCTCCTTATCCCATGTCTGGAGCTCATCACCCAGGGCCACGTGCAGAGACAGGCAGTGCCATGGACCTCTGGCCCTTCAGAAGCACCAACGCTGAGGGGCTGAATGTCCTGCAAAACTATAAAATGCCAGAATTTGCATTTGTGCTTGGCATAGATTTTAAATGCCTGCAGCCCAGCTCCTCTTGAGAGGCAGTGCTGTGCTGGAGCACATCTGAAAATCTAAGAGCAGCCAGAACCTTCCCACACCATTTCCCTTCTCTATTCCTTGTCAGTGGTTTGCTTTGTCTTTTGTTGTTGGTGTTCACTTGGTTGCTTTCTTTTTAATGAGCAACTTTGAACCCTGCACCAGCTGAGCAGGTCCCTGGGTCCTGGCAGACCTGTCCCACTCCAGAGCCAGGACCTGCAGCTGCCCCACAACCCATTCTCTGGCTCAGGTCTTGCTGCCAACCTTTCCTCCTGGGTCACCTGTGCTACACATTTAATTTACATTACACAGGAGCTGTAACAACCAGCTGGAACATCAGCCACATCAAAGGCAGTACTCACCTACCACACTGATCCTGGAACTGGAGGTGATGCCAAGGATTGCCAAGGAATTACAGACTCCTGAATGGAGGCTTTGTAACCCCGAACTACTCCAAGCTGCTGGACCAACCCCTCTGAGGCTCCGTGGGCCCTTGGGATTTGCTAGGAGCAATACACCCAGCAGCTAGGCTGGCTGAAGCTCCCATCCCACCCCTCCATGTGCCCAGGAGGCCTGTGGAAAAGGCAAGGGGTGCTCCTCAACCCGCCTGAGCAGCAGAAATTTTGGGCAGAGAGATACTCTTCACGTCCCAGCAGGCTGGGGAAGGAGCGAGGTGGCCCATGCAGCGTCCTCGGGGGACAGACCCCGCTCAGGGGTGAGGGAAGGGTTCCTCCTGGGGAGCTGCAGCCCCGGTGCCATGGGGACCGAGCGTGTCCCAGCGGGATTGTGCAAACTCCCAGCTCTGGGAGCCGATCTCCCTCCGTATCTCGGCGCTGCACTTTGCACCCCGGCTGCCGTGACCTCACGCCGGCTCTGGGGCAGCGTTTAAAGTCCAGGCAGAGCGGTGCCACTGCCTCCAGCCCAGAGCGGCTCGTCCCCGGCGCGGCTGCCCCTCCGCCGGGGCTCGGCGCCGCGCAGCATGCGGCTGCTGCTGCGGGCAGCGCTCCTGTGCCTGGCCCTGCGCCGGGGCCAGGGCTCCGAGCAGCCAGCGCCCCGCAGCCCCGGCCAGCAGGACTCCCAGGCAGAGTCGTCCTTCCCCGACTGGGGCATCGAAACCATCCGGGACGGCTTTGAAACGGTGAACAGCTACTTCGACTCCTTCTTGGAACTGCTCGGGGGGAGAAATGGAGTCTGTCAGTACCGCTGTCGATATGGTAAGTGCTCATCGCTGCCGCTGGCTCCTCTCTCCTCGCCCTTTCCTCTCTTTCCTTCTCCCTCCCTGCGGCCACGACCAGCCCCTCCTCCCCACGAGCTGTGCCCGGCATTGCTCAGGGTCAGCACCTCTGCCGGTGCCAGCACGGGGACACTGAACCCCTTCCCCAAGAGCAGCCTGCTCGCCAGGCACCGCGCTGGGTGCACAGGACGGCAGGGGAGGCGCAGCTTCCCTGCAGGGGCACACAGGTACCCGGCTGTCCCTGTGCCCGGAGCCCGGACCCCGGACAGGACGCGAGGGAAGGCTGAGCCAGCTGCCCTAATCTCAGCAACCTTCGGAGTGTCCTTATCCTGCGGCGGTGAGCTGGCCGTGCCGTGGGCTGGAGGAGGAGAGATAACGGGGGACAAGCCACACGGCACTGCGAGGCACCTTTAGTACTCAAGGCACAAGGAGGCAGCTCCTGCTTGCTTTGGACTTCACTTTTTGGTGATTTACCCAAAAGGATTAGTTTGGTTTGTCCTGCGGGCAGGATGAAGGGGGTGACACCTTGGGGAGGGCAGGGCAGGGGAGTGGGTGCACAGAGCTGCAGTCTGTGGGGTGACAGGGTACCTGTGGGAACGACCTGCTTAGGAACCAGCCAGGAGTTTTCCCACAGACTAACCTCTCCTCAGCCTCCTACACCTGTCCCACAGCCACATCTTGTCCTGTCACCTCAGCCTGCCCAGCCACAGCTGCCTGTCAGCCCCTTGCCCCACAGCTTCACCCCACACCCTTAGTGACCACCTGGGAAAGATGCTTGTGAGCAGAGGGGTTTCAACCCCTCTCCTCCCCGGAGCACTGTTTTGCACAGACAGACTTAACCTTTTGGGGAGACCCCACTGACTCTGTCTCAGTCTGTATGGATCCCGTGGACCTCCTGCTCTTCCCAGGCCAGCAGCCAGGGCACTGGGACAAAGAGATGCTGCAGGGCTGGGACCTCAGCTCCCTGCCAAGGCAAAGGGGCCATAAGGAGTTCAAAATCAGTCTGAAAGTTGTGAAGTTCTTTGTTCTGTTTCATAACTAATGTCACAGAAACACACAACAGGCTGAGCTGGAAGGGACCCATCAGGATCACTGATTCTAACTCCTGGCCCTGTGACACCCCAAGAGTCACATCCTGTGAAACGTTGTCCAGACACTCCTGGAGCTCTGGTAGCCATGGGACCACTTCTCTGATGAGCCTGGAAGTGCTTCCAGGGCTCAGCCACCTGCTGGATGTAAAATCTCTTCTGAACATCCATCTAATGTGTATATATGTGTCCTCCCCCTCCTGCCAGCTCTGCTCCCAGGCCCCACACTGAGAACAAACAGGGAGCAGCAAGCTCAGTCCCATGGGATGGAGGGAGCCAGGTACCCCAGCCCATCACCACAGTCCCACAGTGACTCTGGTCCCTCAGCTGGGGATCTCTCAGTCCTCTCTACAGCAGCCCAGGAGGGCCATGTGTGTCCCCAGTGCCTGGAGGATGAGGTCCCCAGACCCTCCAGCACCACCCCAGCACACAGGATGAGCCCATCAGGCAACCTGTCCCATGCGCAAGGTGTGGCAGTCCCAGGCCATGTGTGTGACAACCTCCTAAAGGTGCACTCCATGCTCCAAATTCAGAGCAGAAAGGGACTTGCCCTCCTCAATGTAGAGACTGAAACTCTTGGCAGTGGGAAAAACGTGGCTGGGACTGCAGTGGGCCTGAGGTAATGATGATATTCAGAGCTGCTTTCACAGAGCCTCAGGACTTACCACATCATGCAGGAGTTACTGCTTTTGGACACATCCAGAGGGCTATCCCTGCCTGTCCTTAGAAAAAGCATCTCCAGAGAGCAGCACAAATCCCTGCTCACATCCCAGGAGCACCCTGCATCTCAAAGGAACAGTGTTTTAGCCAGAAAGGAAAACAAGCCCATTGTTAGCCCAGTTCTCACTCTCTGCTGAACAGCTCATTAATAACTGTCTGAAGGAGGACACTACTGAAATGCTGCCCATGTGGCTCCAAGGGGCTTGCTGGACCCTTCCTTGCTAATCTCTGGCACGGACATTGCAAACTGGAGAGGATGCCAGGATGGTCCCAAATCAGTGAGATCCAGTCCTTGCTCAGAAGGGTGAACATAAACCATCTTTGTGCTGAATCAAGGCCTGATTGCTTTTTTTCCCCAGGCATGAAACAGAAATTATTCCTTCTACTTATTTCCATTTCAGCCAAGAGAGACCAAAAATAGCTTATTTTGCCACAGTAAAGGTCAGGACTCACCTGTGATTGCCACATCCATCTTCAGCTGAACACTTGGCAGTTCCAGCTGTAAGACTCTCCTGATTTTTCAGCAGCTACTGAGGTCTGAAAACAGCCAACTTGATGGATAACTCCCTTAAATCAGGACATTAGGGTTACACTAGCATTTACTGGCAAATATCCTCCTGCTTACAAAGTCTCACTGGGGAAACAAACAGCCTGGGCTGGGAGTGAAGCCCTTGTAGCTTCCTCCTGGCCAGACAAGACTTCACTGCTTTGCTCATTTGGTCCTGAAGGGCTTCAGATGAGGGGGCACCTCGAGGCTGTGGGAAAAGAGCCTTCAAAGCCAGGCTCTCTCCAACAGGGCACACAAGGCTGGGTGTGTGCAGGCACCTCTGCTCAAAGCCTGTCTGCCTGGGGCACACAAACAACAATGGACCACCCAAACAGTGCAAGGAGCCCTGAAGACCACCCATTCACCCAAAAATACACTCAGCTCCCCCAGCCAATGTCCCAGCACTGAGACCTCCTGCATTGCCAGCAGCTGATCAGCCAGCTGGCTGCTTTCCAGCCTCTTGGAATAGCTACAACAGCCTGAGGGTATTAAAATGCATCAGGGAAACTCAACTTCAGTTCTAGGGCTGTGGCGACAAGGCAGTGGCCTGCAATCTATCTTCTTGCCTGTAAGGATGGGCAAGCAATAAATGATAACAGGGGCACTGAGTCAATGCTTGTAGAGAGGCAGGAATGCCTGATATTCCTGTTTTGCTTTTCTGCTACCTACAAAACAAGATGTAGGAGAGAGGTTAATTGTGGTGTCTTGGACTTGACCTAGCTGAGAAAGAGTACAAAGGGACACTTTATAAGTTTAAAAGCTCTGTTTTTCAGAGGGGAGGAGACAAGTTTCCTACAAGGGCTTATCCTGAAGGCAGTTGATGTTTTGTGGGATCAGCACAATCCTTATGTGAGGGTTTTTTTTCCTCATAACAGCTTTCTAGAACATTGTAATAGGCTGTGACTTGGGCTTAATTGAAGATCTGGAAACACAGCTCTCATTGGCTGGGAACTGGATAATAGAGGGAGAACTGGATGATCTTAAAGGTCCCATCCAACCCAAGCCATTCCATGATTCCATGATCTACACATCCCCAAAAAGTCTCACTCCTACTCAGACTTGTCATCTTATCCCATTAACTGTCAGTGTGCTGCAGGAACAGAATTTTTACAATCAATATTACAAGTAAGACACTCAAATTTGACTCCATCCTGCAAAACCCACGGCAGATTTTGAACTTTCTTCTGCCTCCTGCATCAGTTCAGGAACATTTGAATTCTGAGTCCCTGTTTCCACCCCCTTCCAAAAAAAAAAAAAAACCATCAAGGCTCTTTTGGAGGGGGAAAATTGCCTGTTGGTGTCTCACAGCTGGATAGGATTTCAGTTTGTTATTTATTTGTAGCAAATCTGTTATTTAAGCAAAACAGCTCTGGCAAAGTTTAATTGAGAGGTGCTGGGAACACTCCTACATAAGTCTCTCTGAGGCTTTTGGCTGCAAGGCCTTCCCAAGGGCACAGCAGATTTATGGTTGAATTAACCACTGGCTTTTTAGGTACCTGAACAGAAAAATGGGGAAAGTGTCTTAAATAATTCCCCGCGCTGACAAAAAGTAAGAGGTGGAAATGGACTTTAAAAGAACCCACCCCTGCCTTGAAGGGCTGAATTAGATCCATTTTATGTCTATATAAATTCTCTAGCCATGCTCAGGGAAGCAGAAGCTTAACCCTTGATGTGACAGGTTTCAGAAGGCTCAGCTCACACGTGGTTTTTTGGAGCATTCCTACAGTTTGTTGTCCCAGGGCAGGGACAGGACCCAGGGAATGGCTGGAGCTGTGTCAGGGCAGGGTTAGGTTGGATATGAGGAAAAGGTTCTTCCCCCAGAGGGTGGTCAGGCACTGAACAGGTTCCCCCACAAAAATCAGATTAAAATGCTACTGAAAGGTACTGCTAGAACTGGCTGGGAGCTGGACTCTTCCTACATTGGGTAAATAATTATTCACAGAGGGAGTTCTTGCTCCTTTATGCATATTAAGCAGACTGAGGAAAGTGCAGAGATTAAAGGAACAAAAATTATTTGCAAAATGTGGCAATGCATCACCATGGGCAGAAAATGGACCAAGAAGACCTGCTCAGAGCAAGATCAGACACTCAAGGTCTGGCACAGTTTGGAGGAGATCCGCAGCACAACAAGAATGAACTGAGGATAGAAAGAAACCCCCTTGCTAAGCCAGCAGTGCAAGCAGTAGGGTTTGGGGATGCAAACCAAAGGGGAGCTGTCACTCCTTGCTTTTTGGACCTAGTCCTGGGAAGATCAGCTTTCCTAACATTTGTCTTGTCTCTTCTTTCCCAGGGAAGGCTCCCATGCCACGGCCTCACTACAAACCCCAAGAACCCAACGGCTGTAGCTCCCATTTTCTGGGGCTCAAGGTACCCGAAAGTGTATGTACTATCCCACCCACCAATCCCAAAGGATGCAGCTCTCCATCACATCACCAGCTCATCATTCTGGGCAAGGAAAAGGCTGGGCTGGGCAGCTCGGTGACAATAACCTGTGTGCACACAGCAACACCTGAGTGCATCCTCCATACCTGCCCCTTCACCTCTTCCCACACTTTTTGCCTCTGCCAAGCACTGAATGAAACCCGCAGGCTTTAATAATGCACCCGCTCGTTACATTAAAGGCAATTAATGAAATCATATTGGAATCACCAGGAAAAGCCTTCCCAGGAGGCTCTCAGAGCAGGGAATCCTATTTAGCTCATGCATTATTACTGCCCACGGAGTCTGCAGCAATTAGGCAGATTCCTGCCCTGACAATCGCTCTCTTTGCAGCTCATTTTTCATGTTAGGTTTAATTCCTGAAACTCTATTTCACTGCAAAGCTTGTGGGCATTTCTGTGGTGCCTACTCTGCACCAGGCAATTGCAAGTGCAATGAAGGAACAATTAATCTAAATTTTACATGAGGAAGGGCAAAAAGAGGAATAATTCATAACAAGCTAACAAGTACAGTCTCTCCAGGAGACAGGCCTTCTGCTCCACCACCTCCAGGGTCATTGGCTAAGCTTACAGGGAGCACAACTCCCCTGACCATGCTGTGTTTGTCCTTGGCCTCAATTGCATCTCTGAGAAATAAGGCATTAGAACACTTATGGCATGTTTATTACGCCAAAAAGCAGGACCTTGTCAGGTTGTGGGAAAAAGAGGAAAAGAGAAAAGGGGCCTTTGCCACTGTTGGCAAGGACATGGAGCTCTCTGACAAATGAAAACTAGAAAATGGTCATGGTGGGGCTGTTTCCCACCTCTCTGCCAGATGCCGATTCCCTGGGACACAGAGAGGAGAAGAGAATGGGATGAAGTCTGCACTGAGCCTGAACCACTGACACCACTGGGCTGCTCCCTCATCCTTCTTTAGATGGTGAGGGAGCAGCACACATTCCCTCCTGCTGCCCCAGCTATCAGGAACAGCTTCTGGAAAAGGAGCCAGCTAGACCTCACCCCATCACAGCTGTGTGAGCCTGAGGCCAGAACCCAGCCAAGGGACACCTCTTTTCTCTTTCCCCAGCTAGACTTGGGCATTCCTGCCATGACCAAGTGCTGTAACCAGCTGGACATTTGTTATGACACCTGTGGGGCCAACAAGTACCGCTGTGACGCCAAGTTCCGCTGGTGCCTCCACTCCATCTGCTCCGACCTCAAGCGCAGCCTGGGCTTTGTCTCCAAGGTGCAAGGTAGGACCCTGCCTCACATCCCCAGTGCAGGGAGCCCCTTCCTTGCCAAAAAGATGCACAACTGTGCAGTAGGGAGCAGCATCTCTGAACTGCACTCGTCACAGGTGGGTGAGAACACAGAGATCTGCCCCCTCTGCCACACACTTCTGTCTCAAATAACCTACAGTTATTTGCATTTAGAAAACATTACAATGTGTGAAAAAAAACCACAAACAACCCTGGACGCAATTCCTTCAAAACTTGGAGGCAGTCCCAGACACCTTAATGGGATAGTGAGGCACACTCTTGAAACCTTTACATGGCCAGGGGCCAGCAAAACTGAGAAAGCCAAGGCGTCTCGGGGATCTGGTCACAGATAAGAGATGATGATGGCACCAGGGACACACCAGTCTGGGTAGTGGCTGAGCCACTGCAGGCAGCTCTGGATGACTCAGAAGTGCTAACAAGCTCTAGAGATGTGCCAGCAGCTCAAGTGCCACCCTGGTTTTGCCTAATTTAAAAAGCCTCAGCCTAGAAGTCTGAGAAGAGCTTTTTTGGTAACTTCTGCTGACCCCCTGCTCTAAGGTATCCTTAAATATGCATTTGTTTTCCAAAGGTGCAGCCTGATTAGGACACATGGGAAGTCTGCAGCGCTAGTGCAGATAGCTTCCTACCTGGTCACAGATAAATGCATGGAAAGAGTGCCCAGGCCAGCAAGAGAAATCAAAGGCATGGATTGAGACATAAATGCTACAGGCTGAGCACAGCCAATCTTTCATGGTCACCCTTATCAACAGTTCCTCACACAGCCAACTTCTTCCCATCTCTTCAGATTTTCCACTTTTTCATATGACTCCTTCTTGCTCTCTGCTTGCAGCAGCAAAGCAAACCTAGATCCTAGGGAGTTAAGGTGGAGCAGAGCCCAAACTCCTGGGCTGAGCCAAGCCACCTCTGCCAGGAGGAGCAGATTCCTCCAGCATCTCTGTCCTGGCTGCTGTAGGAGGCACAGGTAACACCAGTGAACCTCAGAGCCATCCTCCCCTCACCTTGGGCTCTACAGATCCTGTCCCCAGGGCTGCTCTGAGTAGCTCCTGTCACAGTCCTCCTCCTCAGCCATCCCAGCTCTTATCTGGCATTCAAAACCTCGGTTTTCCCACTGACTCACCACAGCCTCTCTAGTGCCTGCCAACTGAGCAGCCTCCTGAAGGAACAGGAGCTCTGAGGTGTTTGGAGAGGCTGAGATAGGAGAAAACAGTCCCAAAGGCAAGGCTTTCCCAGCTTCATCATGCATACAGCTATCAGTGTTGCTGCCAGTAAATAAACCCTAAAGACCTAATATTAACCTATTTATTTACTGACAAGCACTTTCAGGGATGTTTTTGGGATGTGGAGGGGCTAGTAGTCAAGCAGTCAGCTGCTCCAGCTGCTGTAAGATTTTTCATGCTGGCTGGCAGCTGGCATCATAACTCCCAAAAAAACCCAGAAATGTTGATTAATAGTGGCCATAGGCAAAACTGAGAGGAGAAGTAATAATATAGGGGCCTCCTGGGAAATCTGTTTGGTAAACAGTGCTGTTTGCAGAGCCCCAGATGATCCATCAACCAGTAGGGCCTCAAAGAGGCAAGAAAGGAGGGGTTTGGGGGTTAAAAAATGAATGCCACCCTGGGTAGAAGAGAGGAGGGAACCTCAGGATTATAAAAATGCAGTTCTCAGAGAGAAAAGATGACAGCCCATGCTTCCAATGGCAAACCCCACGGAGCTCAGTGCAGGGCTCGTGCTGGGGAGCTCAGGGTTTCCTGTCCTTACCTGGCCGCCCTGTTCTTCTCCACAGCCTGTGAATCCATGGCAGACACGGTGTTCAACGCCGTCTGGACCCTGGGCTGCCGGCCCTTCATGAACAGCCAGAGGAGCGCCTGCATTTGCAGCGAGGAGGAGCGCGACGAACTGTGAGCCAGAGCAGCCGCGCAGCGCCCGTCAGGCAGCACGGTGACTCCTGTCAGCCCCCGGCATGGGCACCCACGGCAGCCTGGGGCACGGCACAGCCACCCCACGGACAGAGGGCGGCCGTGCCTGCTGCCCGCCGCAGATGCAGCTCCACAGCCCCACTGCCCCTTCCCAGGCCCACAGGATCCCAGGCCAGTTCTCTCCAAGGCAAGCAGGATGCAGCGCTGCTTATAAACACAAGACTTACCTTAAATACGTACTATTACCTCCCCCCACCCTGTAACTCCCTAATTTGCAGTGCAAGGCATTAGGTTTCTGCAAGCCCTGTGAAATTCCCAGTCCATGGATACGCTATGTACATTTTTGCACTGCTGGTGACAGACTGAAGAGGGGTAATTTGCTTTCAGTACATTGCTCGCACCCATCTCTTGACACTTTCCATCCTGTCATTACACACCCTGACAACCCTGCATATTTAAATACTTGGTGGATCCTAAACTGACTTAAGACATCTGGAGATTTCTTAAGCACGAGTTAAGGGGAAGGGCTCGAGGTGTTTGTGGTACACAATTGATATTCAGGACCAAAGCCCACCATTTATCAGATGTGAAATCACAGCCTTTTCCCCCAGTCTCAGGAGAGGAAGCCACTTTTCTTTGCCAGTGTCATCCACTGGCATCTATTTAATTACTTTTCTCCTACAGCATTTAACAAAGCTTTGCCCTTAGGATCCCTTTTTACACAAAATGGCTGGGTCTCCACCTCCATCTCTTGCACGAGCGAAACAGGAGGCTCACAGTGGCCTTGGATGAGAAATTCTGGAGCCTTATCTGTCAGATGACAGGACTTATGTGCTACCTCTGTGGGGCCGCTATCAGCAGCCTCAGACACCATTCCTTCTAAAACTGGTTAATACTCCCATCTGTTATGGAGAGCTTTTGTTGCGTGCAAAACCAGAATTTTAAGTGGTGCATGGCATTTTGCCTCCACAGAACACTGGCAGACAGCTTTCAGCTGGGTTTCTTGTTGGAAGGATGTTGCTACTGGGTGTGTGCGTGCCGTGCCATGTAAATATTTCAGCAGCTCCTGCAAACATATTTATGGTTATGTTCCTCCATCTGCCACAGAGAAGTTAAGGCTGCAAAAGGGTGATTTAACAAGAGTGGAAAGAGTCTGCCTTGGTTGCTTTTCTTCCAGTTTAAATGGGTTTAAAATGTATGCATGGAGCTATAAATTATTTAAGCCCTGTATTCCTACTCCTGCCAGTCATCCTTGCCTTACAGTGAACAGCAATGAGACGTTCAGCTGGCCTCAAGTGGGCTGGAACAACAAGACCCCCCCTGGTATCCAGACCAGGAAAATGGAAGTGACTGCGTGAGGTGTACTGGAGTGTTTTCTTTCACAGAGGACTTCAACATTGCTCAGATGTAACGACAGCCTTTCCTAGCTGGGCTAATGCCACTGGAGAGGGAATTCTGCATTGTTGAGATTCCCTGCCCTGTCAGAGCATGAGGCTGGACACACAACCTTGATTATCCAGCTAAGAAACATCTACTTTTGGCTAGGGATGGGAAGGAAACATTCCTCACTCCAGACGCTGCCCAAACTTTGTATTCTGTTGGTGAAATAGTGCTTGTGGCCAGTTGAAATTGGCCAGTGAACACCCTCCTATGATTAAATGACAAAAATGAAGTTAAAATAGCTATATTGCCTACATTCAACAGCTGACTGCATGGCAAATATCTTAAATTACCTTAGAGTTCAAGTGATATCAGACTAAAGCCAAGCAACTGCTGGCAGGTGGTGACATACACCGGAGAAATCAAAGGGTTCTGAACAAAATCTCTGTACCCAGACACTGATAGTGCTGGAGACATTGCTAAGATAAATCATAATTTCTCCCTGCTTTCAGACCACCATTCATCCCAAAACCCCAGAGACCACCCCAAGCAGGCCAGCTGCTGAATAAATTCATTTTTCACTGTGGTAACGTGAAAAACTCCCTAGCAGCTCTACAAGGAAATATCTGAACCTTCAAGTGGTGGCAGTGACTCCAGCAAATAATCCTGTGTTGGAGCAAACCAGCACATGAAACCCAGTAAAACTGCAACCAAACTAAAACCTGCTTCCCCTCCATGCCACTCCTGCTATCCAGTGATGTACAGCCACAGAAGCAGCTGATCACAGGATGCTGCATGAACCTTGGGTCATCTTCAATTCCACCCTGCTCTGGACACAAAGACACCACTTTGCTCATCCCATGGCTTCCTCTTGATTTTGTGCATTGGCAGGACTGTTTTCAGCTGCAGAGTGGAAAAGCTGCTCCACGTGAATTCGTCAGGAAGAACCAGATAATCTGCACAATAACTGACATAAACCAGGAAAGGAACTTCTCTCTCCATCACTCCCCTGACATCCCTTCCATATAAACAAACAAGACCAGTTGATTCTCCAGAAGGCACCAGATAATTAATTTAATTTCCCAGCTCTTGTTTTATCAAAACAAATATATTTAATGGAGTCTGCCTGAACAAAGAAGTGACAGTGGGAAACTGCCCCTGTGGTCCTACTGCAGATGTGAATCAGCAGAACAGCAATCCTAGGAGAAACCTTTTTCCTTTCTTTTTCTTTCACATATGGTTGGATAACACATGAAAAGTGTCTTTCCATTTATACGTACTTATCATCATAGAAATATTTTTGTTTACCGTAACACAAATACACTTATTTCCAAGATTAGAAAAGCAGCCATGAAGCTATTTAGAAAAATCATTAAACTCTCAGCCATTAAATGTTCATTCCTCAATGGAATCTCACTTGCCAGAACAAATAAATCTGTGAAATAGGTTGAAATGTTTGAGGTGATTTGTGACTCCTTTCTAAATGGTCCCTTCAAACAGATTCCACTCCCATTTGAGAGCAGCAGCAAATTTTGGCTTTTAGAGTAATGTGGCTGCTCCAAGCAAAGCAGAACACAGGTGATGAAGATTGGGGAGCTTCCAGCAGAGCTCTAACCACACAGGACAGAGCTGCACACTGAGGAACCTCTTGCAGAAAGCCCTGGGAATGCACTGCAGAGCCACTGCCACCGGTGGAGACGGATCCTTCCCCTCATCCTCCAGCCCTGCCTGTCCCATGTTGTCCTTCACTGCTGGCTGTGCTTCCTCCCTTCCAGCCCACACCCCTAATCCTTTACCACACAGCTCAAGGAACCTGAGCCAGAGGAGCTGATCAACATCCATTGTATTTTCTTCAGAAGGAGCTTGGCAGCCCAAAAAGATTCCTGACAACCATGATGCCACCACCATCACCAGTCACTGTGTCCCCTGCCGTGTCCACTCAGACAATGCTGCCATGTCTCCTGTCACCAGGCTCACTGGGGACAGCCCTGTCCTGAGAACTGCCCACATTACCAACGATTGCTATAAATAATTAATATGCATTCCTCTAATCCTCTGTTGGAACCATGGCCTTGCTAACGAGGGCAACGTATCACACCTTCCAGACAAACACTTGGCAGCAGCATGCACGGGATGGGGGTGTTTATAGATGTTTAATGGTGTTTCTCTTACAATCAAGGTGCTATCACAGCACTTAGGAAAGGCATTTTTGGTGGTGGGAGAAAAAGGAGAAGAATAATGATACACTAAATACAGGAGGAAACACTATTAAACTTCATGCAATTATCAAAAGCCACTAAAAAAAATCAAATCTCATTAAATATCTTTTGCTATTTAAAATCACAGTTAAATGTGCCTGTGATAGATCTGAGCTTTAGCTGCCTGTAATGACAATTGCATCGCTCCAAGGAACTTAGACATGATGAGATATATTTTACACATGTTTTTATTAACAATCACCTGAAATCTCCAGCATCACTCACAGAGCTGTACAGCAAACACACTCATCTATGATACTATTTGTACTGTCTGATGCAAGAAGGGCTTGGATAACATTTGTTTAGTCAAGGACAAACAGTCCTAGGGCCTGTAGGTGGATGTAGGGAAAGGCAAAGTTGGGTAACATTTCTGGCCTGCAAAGAAACAGGGTCCCTGCAGCTAAAGGATTGTTGGGAAGAAATGCAGATAAAAGCAAACTGTTCTGCAGTCTGGGTCACACTCCAAGGGCTGCCTCATGGGCCCAAACCACTTGACAAATAATCACCACAGAGTTAAGGAAATGAGTCCTCAGGTTCAAGCGGGGCTTTAACAAATACCTGTGGTTTCTCAACCACCACAACAGAAGGCAGTGATAAGGAAGGCCAGGGATGCTGTTGCAGAGGGTGGGTGTCAGTCATCAAAGTCGATCCTGATGGGGCCTCCTGTCAGGATGTGGTTTGACACGTGAACAGATTCCTTGTCCTGCTGCTCCTCCTGTTGCTCGGCCGACCTGCGCACGCGTCTCCGGCAGCCCTGGGCGCAGCGCGAGGTCTCGTCCAGCGCGCCGCACACGAGGATGCGGCAGTGCAGGAACACCTCCTGAGGTGGGGACACAGCAGGAGGGTCAGTGCACAGCTCTGACCACTGGCACTGCTGCCAGGGCCAGTGCCACAGCATTCCTGTGGCACACGGTTCGTGTCCAGCATCGCCGCCCGCGGCCAGAACGGCCGCTCCGGCTGTTTCCTGGGCGCTCTCTGCAGAGAGCCTGGCTGAGGTCTCAGAGGCAAGAGCAGGGAGACAGGGAATAGGATGGTGTGAAATGATCCTCCAGATGAAGGGATGAAAACAGCAGGAATCAGCTCGAAGAGCTCATGGGGACTGGTAGAAGCTGCGTGTTGAGAATGCGAGCCTCGCACGGATTGATGGAGATGTGCAAGAGAATTTCAAGTGAGCTGGGCAAACAAAGCCAGGAAACCAAGGGGAAGAAGGAGGAAAACACAGGGTATTGAGAGGGTAAGCTGAGGGAAGAAGAAGAATGCAAAGAGCAAGGAGCCAGCTGCCTTTTCTCCTGTCACAGCACAGGCAGTGACAGGATTGCTGCTCCCTGCCCTGTAAATGACCAGGAGAGCAAGCAAGATCCCTGCAAGCAGCAGCCACAAAGACTTGGAGAGGTTTGAAGCAGAATCCATTGTGCAGGATGGGAGGATGCAGGTTGGAGGCAGCAGGGGTAATCAGAAAGCCAAGGAAAATTTCTGAATTTTAGAAGATCTCATCTGTTTTAACCCTACTGGGGCTCTCCAGTAGCTGGAGCAGCAGCTTTATGCTTTTTGGAGCAGGCAGTGTTGGCTGAGCATAGCAATGACTGGAAGATCCAATTTCCTCCAACACAGAAAGGAAAGCTATTTGCATTAGGAAAATGGCATTATCCTTCCACTGTCTTCCCACTACAGAGCTGCTGCCCTAGAGAGTCAGCCTGGTTTCACATTGAATTAAACAGTATAGTGGCCTTCTGTCTGGAGTGCTGGCATCTGAACTCACGAGAGCTAGAGAAGGCTGAAGAGATCCCAAACTAAAAACGGTGTTGTTTTAAAGAAAGGGCACTGTGAAATGTGACTGAGAACACTTCTCTCACCCAGCAAACAAGGGGCCACCAACACCACCCTGGAGGCAACAACAATTTTAGTCCGCTGTGGCACTGATGTTCCAAAACTGTCCTTCATATTTTAATTTTAGTTGTTTTTATCAATCTCTCCTGAAGTACCTTTCTCAAACTCCTGTAAGGTGTAACTGCTGGAACAGGCACAGCAGAACCTGCCTTGGGCCAGCCATTTCATACCCTTTTCCAGCTTGGTGCTGAGGCTCCTCAGTCATATCAAAGCTGATGAAATATCTAAGAGTTGAGTTTTGATCTTACCTTGTTGTCTTTGCCCACAAACTTGAACACAGGAACCTGGAAGTGCTTGGCAAGATGGTCCTTTGACGTGTACTGCTTCACGGAATCATCAGAAACACAGCTGAGGAGAGCAGAGGGAGAGGCTTTAATGGGTTTCCCAGAAATGGAAAAAAGAAAGAGAAAAGACATTCCAGCCTACTTAACCAGAGAAAGAAAAGGAGGGATTGGTTCTCTCAGGCTCAGCTACCATTTCTGCTACTTCCTCTTTGGCCACAGGAGAAAAGTCAGGAATGATGGGGAAAACCAGCAGCACTGCTAATAGCATCTCCAGACAGGGAACAGCTCAGCAGCAGAGGGCTGGCAGGACGTGGCCCAGTCCCTCAGAGAGGGACTGCCAGCGAGCTGCAGGCAAGTCTGTCCTCATTTCACCTCCCTGTGCAACAGCCTGCAGTGTTATACACTACAGAATGTGCCGTGCACTCACTGTATACACATAGATATGCACATAAATTATGCTTAAAATGAATCAGCCTGCACTCACATTACTAAAATATGACAGATGATGGAAACAACAAAAATCTAGGTTTACTTTGCTTTATATCATTTACGTTTTTCTTCCTGCTGGATTTGGTCAAATAGCTTAAATGCACTACACCAAAAATTTATAATTTCAGTTTTTCCATTGCTAGCAATGCAAGCAAGTAAGAGAGGTCACAGAACTGCAAGAAAATAAACTGCTTTTATAACAAGCTACATTCCAGGTACAGTGTATTTATAAACTACTGCAGCCTATTTAGAGTTTGACAGACAAAATTATGGTGGCTCAATAATTACTGCTGATTATTGCAAAGCCTTGGGCATCTTGAGAGGTTCTGATGCTGCTGTGAAATTGCATTGCAATGTAGCTTGTCCTTTCTAGCAAGTTAATGCCAAAAATGTGGACTTTGAAAGATATATAAAAAAAACAACAAAAAACAACAAAACCAAAGCAGTGGTGGAAGTGACAAAAGGTACTGGTGTAGCTCAAATCCTTGCTCTTGCAGCAAGCTTCAGCTCCCATCTTTACACAAGAAATGTGCATGGCATTGTCAGCAACTCTGATGTCTGCCATGTTCAGCTGTAAAAGAGCAGTTCTGCCTTCACTGGAACGTTTTGGAATCTCTAAGTTGCCAAAATTCCTTTTTAAACAAGGCATATGATCATAAGGAATGACAGTTAAAGACTTTTCATAGGTGAGTGGCCAAGCTCTGGGCCATGAAGTCAATTCACAGGCATGTTCTCATTTGTGAGCACATAAACTGTGATGATTATTAGACACTGGATCAAACTGACTCCTAAACCCCAGGTTCTCCAAAGGTTCTCCACACTGGTGGAAGGAAACCTACTGATCTGGGGCTAGGGAGAGGGAAAGTGGAAGAACACCAGAAATGAATCAGAGATACATACACAAAACCAGCACAGACACCTCATGAGTCACATGGGCAAGTCCTTTTGCATTTGTGGGGCCAGACTACATCCCATTCTCCTAGGAAAAACCCCAGAGACCCTGCTGCCCACTTTGGAGAGGTGAGAGGAGACAGGTATGGAAGGAAAAGGGGTGGGCCTGGTCAGGATATGGGGAAAACCACCCTATCCCTGTGCAGAATGTGCTTAGGTTTGGGGAGCAGAGCAGCAGTGCCGTGGCAGCTGTGCTCTGACCCTCTTATGCAGGGTTGCAAGGCTGAAAGGAAGGCTTGCACAATGAAATATCCACCTCAGCCTAGCAAACAGGGCAGCCTGAGACATAAGATGAGCTCTGCAATGGAACTACCTTAACCACCCCGTGCTCTGCTGAACCACAGCTTCTGAGCTCAGCAGTGACATGACCTGGCTCCAGATGCCCCAGAGAGCTCCAGTGTTTATCAGCTGTGCCATCGGTCACTGCCTTTGTTCCACTTTGTTCTCAGAAGGCAGGGAATTAACAGAGAAAGAGCAGCAGAGGGAATTTCCCATTCCTCAGTCCAAGGTATATCCCCCTCCAATATAAACAGTGTTTCCCTTTGGATTATGCAGTTAACTCTTGCAGGTCTGATCCTATATAAACTGATAAAAAACCCTATCTTTATTGCCATGGGCTTTTGGGGCTGGATTTCTAGGAGGAAACTGAATTATTACAGAAGAGTCTGGAGCAGGGACAACTTAACAGTGCATTCAGGTAATTCAATTTTGAATCACTGGAGCCTGCAGTGATGGCTGCAGAGTGGAGCATTTTTCCCTTCAGTGAAGTTTTAATGCCCTCTGCAGGTACCAAGGGACTGCTGGTGCCATAAATCCTCCAACCAGTTCTGGGGTGAATTCAAGAGATGACATTTCCTGCCTTCTCCTTTCTTTATGCAGCTCAGGTTTCAGCTGCTGTTTTGAACCCCATCATTTTCATTCATGGGGAGAAAGGAATGAATATTTGAGGCCTTGACTCTGAGAAAGGTCCATGGAACAGCCAAGCCAGGCAGTTGATAAAATCATTTTTTCCATTACAGATCTGCTCATAAAGCCCAGAAATGTTGGGCACAGAAGGACTGCAGCTTAGCATGGAGGGAGAGCACACTAATGCTGAATCCTCTGTCAGAAGGGAATAAAAGCAGTAATTTTGGGTACTTTACATTGCAGGGCCCTTTTGCTACTAGACAACCACACAGGACTTGCTAGCAGCAGCTGTAACAGTGGATGATTTAGTCTGGCAGCTGAGGACATGATTGTTGTCATCATTACACGGTCTGGCAGGCAACATACAGGATTTACACAAGCACTGTCCCTTGACTCTCAGGCTACAGCTCTTGGGTATGTCTTAGATATTCCTTTGGCTGATTTCCCTCCCTAGAGAACAGCAGACTGCCTCACAACTATGACATTTCCTCTGGTTAAGCAGCTGGATGCAAACGCTCCACAGCAATGCTGCAGCATGGCACAGCCATTCCAGCACCCAAAGAAGTGTCTGAAAAGGGAGATCATCTCAGGAGCCACAGCTGACCCACAGCAAGGCTCCCCAAACCTCTGATGCAAAAACCACTACAACAGCGAACCCACAGATCTGCACAAATTTATTTTTAGCATATCCTAGAATAATCACTAACTCCAAATACCTAAAAAAATTTCAGCCAAACTGGAAGACCCTAAGTTTATTGCACTGACAGGCATCACAGAGAGCAAAGCAAGGGATTCTCCTACCAGGATAGCAATGGGCTCTTCTGGCTCGTGCTATAATAAGGCCATTATGAGATAATTAAGAAACTCACTCCAGTTGCTGCAGCAGCTGCCTGGCAGCAGCACAGGGCCATAGGGGTTTTGCACATTGGCTTGGCAGACAGAGGATATCAGGAAAGAGAATCTTTTCTACAGGAGCCAGCTCAATTATCCACAAGGCTAGTGACAGGGAAATACATCCTGTAAAGGCTGCACTCAGAGGAACCTCTTTCACTGCCTCCCACTGTTTCTCCCAATTACTTTTGATGGGACATGTGGTTTCAGCCTGATGGCTGCTGGTGATTGCTACGACCAGGACAGACAGGCTGCTGTGGAGAGGGGGATAGTGTTTCCTGCATCACACAGACAACTCAACCCCACTGCCAATTACCTCTAAATTGCCAGTAAGAGAGGGAACAGTGAACTCACCCATCTTGAATCAGGTAGTACTTCAGGATCTCATCAATTTTGGAGGTGGGAGTGGCAAAGCAGCTCTCCACCAGCGTCTCCAGTCCACTGACGTGCACCAAGGGCTCAATCCCAAAGTACAGGGAGTCCCGAAGCTTGAGGGTGGGAAGATCACCCCTGTAGGGCTCATCAAAGTCTTTGTCCTTGAAGATCTCCAGAGTGAAGGGGAAGACGCCCTGGTTGCGGCTCATGATTTCCAAGGGAGAGTTCTTGAGGTTGGGCACGTAGCCCTCGGAGATGGTGTAGCGGCGCGGGAACTCGCAGGTCACGGGGATCAGCAGCTTGCTGGTGCGCACAATGATGTCCCCATTGCTCCCCGGCGTCTGCTTGGGCAAGCCAGTCACCAGGTTGGTGGCAATGATTTTATCATTGATTACCTACAGCAAAGAAAGGGGAGATCGCTGAGAAAGACCTCCCTGGGCTGACACTCGGAGTAGCCACTGAAGGCCCACCTTGTGAATTTACAGCCCACAACCAGAATGATGCTGCTCATCCTCACAGACCAGCTAAGGCCTGCTGGCAGCTACAATGCACCACACTTCTGCTACGGTGAGCCATTGTCCAGTTGCCAGTTTAACCTTTCAAATATTATCAGAATCTGTCTCAGCAGAAGGATGAAGAGTGGGGACACTTCTACCTTCTACCCTGGTGAAGCAGGAGGCAAGCAGAAAGCAGCACCCATGCTGTCAGACACACACTGCTGGAGGGGGGATGGAACAAGCTGACTTTGGAAAGCCAGTCCAGGTCTACTCTGAGGGCAGCTGCATGGCAACACAGAAAACAGCTCTGAGGGTGCAGATAAATCAGTTTTGTTCCCCAAATAAGCCACAGCCAAATCCCCAAATCCCAGAGACTGGGCAGAAGGTATACGTACATCTACAACGGTACCACAGGACTTCAGGGAGAAATGGATGTTGACATGAGTGCCATTGGACACGCCTTTGCATGAAGTGTTGATGAGGGAAAGGTCCAGGCCTCCAACCAGGTCCTTTGGGATGCTCACCTCAATAGAGCTGGACTTGCACAGCACTGGAACTGCAAGAGAAGTCCCCAGAACAACAGTGTGTGCCACAAACCTACAGGTGAGCTGGAGAAGGGCTAGACCAGATATAATCAGGGGAATAAAAGGGGAATCATAGACAGCATTTATGATAATGATCCTACCACAGTAACCTAACTACCCATCTTGCATTCCCACTCCACAACACAAACCAGAGCTGCCACTGCTCCAAATTCTCCAGCCACAGCAATGCCTCAGAAAACAATGAAGACAATCACTGCACTTGCAGCTGAAATGTAGCTGTGCTTTCCAGCTTCACTTAACACTCAGCACAGATTTGGTTGATAGATCTTGCACTGTGATGTCCTGGGAAGAGCCTTTGCCAGATATGGGTATCAAATTCACGATGCCCCAGGCAAAGCCATTTTTTTAAGACCCTTAATCAGATTTTACATCAAACCCGGAACATGCTGAAACAAGGCAGAGTAATTCCATATAGGTTCTGAGCTAAAAGGGAAACACCTCAAAAAGCCATAATAATCTTTTTATAAGCAATAAACCTAGCTCTGACAAACAAACCCAATTAGCTCACTCATTCCACCTCCCTTCCAACCTTTAAATTTTAATACAGGCCTCCGTGTGAATTTTTTAAATTAAAATTTCATTACATAGTAAGCAGGAGAAAATGAACAAAATAAAAAAAGGAAGGAAAAGAAAATAATCTTCACTAAAAAAGTAGTTGCTGTATATATATTCCTTGGGGTTATTCAGTTCAGTTGGAGACAGGACAAACATACTGGTGGCATATATTCTGGTTTCAGCTAGAAGAAAGAAACCTTTTGCAGGATTTACATTTATTATATTTTGAAGTGCCACGACAAAACCATTTTGCAAACATACCAGTTTCCCGAGATTTTTGCCAAAATTAATTGCAGCACCAGTCCTTGACATTCCTGTGGCCTGCCTTCCCTTAATTTCAATCCTTAATTATATAATTTAAGATTCTGGATATTTGAAATAAGGCACACTGTTAAAACAGGCATTTAAATCCCCTTTAAAAATTTCCCTGTCCCAGCTCAGGTATTTACAGCAGCCTCTGAGTACCTTCAGGGAGGATTTTTGATTAAAAGTTGATCATTTCAAAGCGATACGCTAAAATGTATTCAGAGTTCCCAAAGCAATATGTTCCCATAATGACACTGCTGGGTTAGAACAGAAGCTTAAAGGACGAAAAATTACCTTAACCTTCCCTCCACTGGCAGCAGAAGGCAAGTGGGAATAACTGAGCATGTTAAATGGCTCAGGAGCAGACAAAGGAACTTGGAGAACACAGCATAATGCAGAGAGAGAGGAACATCCTTTGCAGAACTGATTGGTTCCATCTGGATTTAAAGACTTGCTGTTCTAGCACTCCTTGATAAATAAGAATATGTAGTGCTTTTATAAAGGTGACATTCAGGGCAAGAGATTTGGATCCCAACTGCAATTCTCTGAAGTTCAGGACTGATTTAGTTCAGGATCCTGCTGTTTCTACATGTCTTTGACTGACACAAAATGGGAGAAATAAAAGATTCCGTTTTCCCTGTGCTCTGGAGCTGCAGGAGCTGTGTGCCCTCCTGGACACAGAAACAAGTAAAGGAAACCTCTTGACTTAAGCCAACTCGTGGCTATTTGGGTAAACAGTGACAGTCAAACATTTTAGTTATTCACCTCTTACTTCTCAGAGCACCTGTGAGAACTGGGAAAGCCTCCTCATTTCTACTTTAAGCTCTGTTTTGCACCAATGTCTCTGAGCACCTGTGCCTGGGAGGAAGCTTCTGTGGCGAGTCCAACACTCATTTCTCTGCCTGCCATTGTTATTGGCACCATATTCCAGCCTCTGGCTCCTTCCTTGGCCTTTCAAAGTGCTGCTGCTTGGAGCAGAGGTTATCTCCCTGCACAGACTGCTCAGCAGAACAGGTTGTCTGGTGCTGGGGAGCCCTGACCCACTACAAACATAAACCCTGCTTAGCTGCACAAAAATTTTGGTAGGGGATGGGGGAAAGAGCATCTCATCCCTACTCTTCAGGAAGAGGTGGGATACTAGGATGGGCTGCAAAATTCTAGGATGATCTGCAAAATTCCAAGTATTTTGCTGGCTGGTATCTTTATGGAAAAACTGCAGCCTGTAGACTGTGATTTCTGTTAAAGAGTATTAATGTTTGTTCTGAATGTGGAGACAGTGCAGAGGAGGGTAGAGAGTCTGTAGATTCAATTGCTTCAGGCTACTGTGCCTACCCTGCACTGTTAATTGAACCAACATAAACCTGATAAGGTGCCACAAAAAATGGTGTGGTACAGTTCCATATCTGCTCAGAATTGCAGGCCACAGCATGGGGACATAAATTGATGAATGCAAAAGTACAGGCAATTTCACTTTATGAGATGCTGTAGCCTAAGCCTCAGCCTGGCTCCCACCAGTGCTGCTGCTCTCATTAGCACAGCCTCATCAGCAGCAGAAACTCTGCTGGGAAATCCAGAATTTCCAACCCTGCCTGGGGCTGCCTCAGGGGCTCAGGACTGAAAAACATTGCTCTGTTCTGGCCTGTATCCATCAATCAGACTTTCAATCAGAGAGTGTGATCACAGCTCTTGGAAACCCCTACTCCCACCTCCCCACCAGCACTGCTGGATTCCAAGTGGGCAATGCTCACCCTTGGGAGCCCTGCCTTTTAAAAAGCTTAAAAAGCAGAAAATCCATCAAGCAGAACCATTCCAACTTCCTCTCTGAGGTATACCTGCCCTTTTGGCCACCACAAAGCCTGAATTGTGTCCCTCCCACTGATGTCTGGGCACTCTGTGGCACATCAGACTGCAGGAGGTTCTCTGAGCACACCAGGCAACACCAGACTGCTGGTAGCCTGGATGTATTTGCATAAGAAATCTTTGCAAAAACCAGGGAGCTTGTTTATTCCATGTGCATACCATAGGCACAAGTGACTCAGCATGAAGGACTCCCTGTGGAAAGTTCAGATGGAAGGTTCTCCAAGGATAACGCTGCCCTGGCCCCTACACAGCAAAAGCAACAGTCAATTTTTGGATGCCATCCTGGGCACTTTTCCAAGGGGCAGCAGGAGCACCTACTAGCAAAGCTACTGCCCTGCTTCATGGCACAGGAATGCTTACTGGATTGACATACTTGGAAAAAAACATGCCTCTCTCTCTTTAACCCTGTTCTTGGAAGGGACTGACTGGACTGCTTTAGCTGAGAGTTTGAAGTTTGAAGCCTGGAAAATGCCAGCTCTAACAACATAAATTTGTCAGGGGTGTGCACAGAGCAGTATTATGGGAGATGTTTGTAGGAAATAGGAGAGGTAAGATGACTTCCAGAAGGCTGTAAAAGCAGGCCTAAGAAACTGAAAGAACAGAGAACTAGCTACAGCTGCAAAGTCTGAAAGCAGAGAGTTACATAGCTATACCAAGCAAGGACATAGCTTGAGTTTTAGGCTTGGCTAAAAGAGACCTTAAAACTGTAGGAAAATATGCTTAGCAAGGTAGTAGAAGGTTTTAAGCTTAATAATGAATTATTGTGCATTGTTAATAGAAAGAAGGCAAGCAAGCACTGTGTGAAGCAGGTGTACATGTGCTTTTAGCCATTGGCTAGAACAATTGTCTGTAAGCTTTAGCAATGTTCTATTGGCTCAAAAGCTTTTAAAATGCTCTGTAACAAAGAAATCTTTGGCTGCTGCTGGCTGTACATGAGCTTCTGCCATCTTCCTATTGTCTCAACCATGTAAAGAGGCCGATGCTGCAATAAAAGCTCAAGGATTGTACCCCAGCAGTCCTGTCCTTTTAGTGAAAACAAACTGCAAACACAATGTTGAGCAGTATTAGTTGTAAGGGAACACTGCCCCACAATTAATGTGATGCAAGATGCACCCAAACTGGGCCCTGTGGCTGTTCTCCTGCCTGGAGAGAAGAGCAACATCTTCAGGCTCTCATCTTTGGATAGACTGTCATTAGTAACAAAGCTCCATTAACCCAACTGGGAAGGACAGACTAAGAGAAGACAGCAAAAACAGGAAGAAAAGTTCCTCCAGACATTCTCTTGGAGGACAGAGGCTGCTGGGGAGATTTTCTTCACCTACCCTGGCAAGTGTGGTTGTCTTCTGACAGAACAAGTCCCCTGGGACATTCACACTGGTAGGTGCCTTCCACTTCAATACAGGTATGGCTGCAGCCTCCGTTGTTATTGTGACAGCCTTCAATTTCTGGGAAAGAAGGGAAAATCAGCACATCCTGCAGGCTGAACAGACCCCTGACTAACCAACAGTCTGAACAATACAGGTCAAAGGCAACAGTTTTTCCCAGAAAATGAGGTGGAGACCCCCTTTTAAATGGTACTTTTACAATTAAAGGCAATAGTTTGTCTCCCAGAGAATGAGGTGAATACCCTTTTTTTAATTGTACATTTTTACTCATGTAGAGCATCATGATTTTTTTCTTTCAAATAACCTTAACTGCTTGATTTTTTTAACCCTTTGAGATGAATATGCTAGACGAGTACTACTGTTCTCAGTAAAATAACTGAACATGAGATAAGCAAATCATAAATATAAAATATTTCTCCCTGAGCCTGCCATCAGAAATCACTTTGTGGCTTTCACTGAAATGTACAGGAAAGAATGGAAATCCTATACTCAATCCTATACAATGCATGGAAAATAACAGCCCAAACACCCCATATGAGTCAAAGCAATGGGTAAAACATCATAATGTAAGTTTTGAGATTCTTTCAACCTTACTCAGCCTCCCCAGCTCAGGTAATCAAGCTAAATCTCTTGCATTTGTTCTTTTTAGCAACAAGCTGTGAGGTGGCTCACATCTCACATCCCATTCTCTACCAGCTCACAAAGCTGAGGATACATCTTCAGAAATAAAACTCACTAACAAGCTTGTAAAAATTCCCAGCAGCAGTGTTAAACTCGTGAAAGGCACCATCCTTCGTACAGAAGGGAAATTAAATGATACATCAAAGGCCCTAAAAGCCAACTTGGGGAATGGCAGAAACAAATGAGTTTCCAAACAGACTATTCCAGCCTCGTCAGAAGAGTGCAGCACTTGGGAATAAAAATTGCACAGCTCATTTATGTGATGCCCCGGCAGCTCAGAGCTGGATGTGACAGGGACAAAGTCCTCAGACCATTTTTGGCCCCACACAACTTGACAGGTACTTAAGGAGCACTCTGCACAGCAGCATTTCCCAGGAAAGTGTCACTGCCTGGATGAGTGATGTACCGGCAGAGCTCAGAGAGCAGATTTAGCTCTTTTGGGTAACTGAAAAGTGAGACACATCTGTAGTTGTTTTTCTTGTCTGAGACCCCACAGTTTCTGTGAACACCACACAGCAGCTTTGCTGTGGGGAGGTACAGCGTTTTTCCACAGCTCACCACAGAAAACATCAGGCACACATCAGTTTCTGCTGGGTTTGCTTTTTCTGCTCAGGGATGTTTGTATATTGTTAGTGACAACACATCAGGTCCACAATTTGGTCTTTAAGCCATCAGTCTAAATTTATCAAGGGTTTTCAACCTGGCTGTGCCACCATTGTGAAGGAATTGTGGCAGCTGCACAGAGCAGAAGAGCCCATAGACATCAAAGAGCAAAATGCTGCCCTAATCCCAAATTTAACTTCTGTCTGCAGATTGGCACCCCCTCTCCTCAGTCTCTATCCTGGGAGGCTAAAGTGATCCTCGTGCTCTAGTCTAATGTCATGGCATTACCCCATACCTCATGTGAGCTGCCAAAACCCAGTGCTGCTAAATCTGTCCCCACAAATCTACAGAGCCAAATCCCAACAACTCCAGCAACAGGTTCTGCCTAGACAATCAATCTTGCAGATGCACTGCTGTCTTTCCCCCACGGAGATAAACACAAGTAAATCCTAACAGAAATGGACAAGGCAGCGAGAACAACAAGGAGATTTCTTTCTGCTTGCTTAGAGGGATATTTTAGTATCAAGCCCTCTGGCAAGCACAGAGGTGATATCAGTGACATTTAATCCCAGGGGCAAGGAGCCAAGAGAGAGCCAGTGCTGCAAGGGAATGATTTATATAGTTCCAGCAGCCTGTGGTAGATGAAGCCTCACCTTCACAGGTTTTCCCATCACTTCCCAGCGTGCGCCCAACCCCGCACTCGCAGCGGAAGGAATTCTTCAGGTTAACACAGAACTCGCTGCAGCCCCCGTTGTTCTGTTCACACTCATTTTCATCTGAAAAAAAAACAAGCTCTGGAATGGAATGAATAATCCCACTACATGAAGTAATACTGATAGTAGCTTTTGAATCTCTTGATAAAGCTCTGAAAACTCCTCCTAACTATTTTTTAAAGACTAAAGTGGTGCTGTGTCTGTCTGACCTTTTTTTTCTTTTTTTTTTTTTGAAAGGTAATTTGTTCTCTGATATTCTAATTCCTCAACCTGATTTAATCTCTGTGTGCAAAAAGCAAATCAAACAGAGATGAAGGGACAAACATTGCTCTTGCTGAGCCACAAAATGAATGATTTCTCTTAGGCAGGCTAGGATGCTGAAGTTATCAGTTAAAGTTCACATGGGGCTTCATCAAAACAGCTTAGAATATGGCATTTATTAGGTGTCAGAAGCTTAAAACCAAGAAAAAAGAAAAGTACCATTTGAACAGGTCAGAGATGAGCTGTCTCAGGTATCTGTGGACTCACACATGCACAGTACCCACAGCTGGCAGCTGCTGGTGGTGTCTCCTTCCACAAGCAACGTGAATTGATTATTTTTAGCCAAAGGCTTGGCCGGTACCTTGCTTTGGGAGGCAGGAAGCATACCCAGGAGACTCAAACAGACACTCTGTATTTCACACATGTGACAGGCTCCACACTTTCCCTTCTAAAAATAAATCTAAAGCTGCTTAAAAATAGAAGGTGAAGAGGGAAAGGGCTACTGGCAAAGGCATGGAGATCTTGTTAGAAGTGCCTAGAGATTGTCTTGGCCAAGGGTTGAGCCCAGAAATTCCCCTGACTGATCCTTCCAAGTTCTACAGCATACACAGATCTCTGTCCCCACTCTTCCCCCAGTGACAAGCAGCACTTTTGGAGTGCAGGCTGGTTGTCTTGAGACTGGACTGGGACAGTGCTGAGCTGATTTTAACCATGGCTTAGTAGAACCATGGCTTAGAGGATCCAGGCATTGAAGAAGTGAAAGGCAATGCACTGAGTTGGTGGATGTGTGACAGACAAAGACCTTATTTAACCCCACCTCGTTTAACCCCTACATGAAAATGTAACTCAGGATCAGCTGCTCTGCTCTGAGGTTTAAAGCATCCAATGTACTGAGGAGAAGCACAGAGATGCTCAGCATTCACAGAATGGTCTGGGTTGGAAGGGACCTTAAAGCTCATCTTGTTCCATCCACTGCTATTATTCCAGGCTGGGCCAGCCCCATCCAACCTGGCCTTGGACACTTCCAGGGATGTGGCAGCCACAGCTGCTCTGCTGCATTCCTGCAGCAGCTTCAGTCCCTCTCTCTGGGGGAGCTGGGAAAGGAAGCACATTCTCTGCTTAGGAAAGACAAACAGGGATTTATTTGGTTTCTCCGAAAGGAGGACATAGCTGCTCTCAGAGCTGTAATTGCACAATTACTCAGCACAACAGAAAGTTATTAGGAAGATTATGGAGCCACACAAGAGAGGCTGCAGGTAGGGGAACCAGTGTGATCATTCCAGCTGAGGTGCTGTGCCACATGGGAATCTCGAGGAGAAGCGGCAGTGCAGAAATCCTGCTTGTGGGGGGGATGAAAGCAGCTACAGCACACACAGACAGGCTCAGGACTCTTGTGTGCCTCCCTGCTGCAGGAAATCCTTTCCTCTGAGCCTGCCACACATTCACTGAGTGCTAATGCTTGTCAAGGGCACTTCTGTGACTGGAAAGCTTGCACAGAAGCAGCCAATAAATGCTTTTAATTACCTCAGAGAGCTCAGTCAGCCACTTGGCTGCAGACAAGTGGAGATGCTTAAGCAAAAGCCTTCCCCAGAATCACTGGGAGCAAGTGTAACTCTGCAGCAGGACCAGGCTGCTCCTTCCACACACTGGAATGGCTGTGGGTCCCACCCTGATGCTCACAGACATGAGGTGTGTGAAGAAAGAAACCACCCACGCCTGCATTGTCAGGTATAGCCCCTATGAAACAGACTGACCTGCCACACAGCCTCCTGGACCAGCTCTGCTTGCAGCTTCATCACCAAATCAAGTGACAGATGAGATTCCTCTTCCCCCAAACATCCTTTCCTCCCTTCTCTCCCTTACCTCCTCCTATCAATTGCTGTGGCTCTGCAGCTCCCCAGCAGCCACTCCCTTCCCATCCCCTTTATTTGTCCCATCATTTTCCCGACCTCTCAGTCCAGGTGCTCTCCCCCAGCACCACACACAACCACAGAGCTCTCCTCAGAGCTTCATGGGGATTCCCCCACAGATCTCCAAAGCCCATGTTCCCCATTCTGCTCTCACCTCCCTCCTGGCCATGCTGGTCTCTGCCATCAAGTGCCAGCTCCCCCTTGTCATGCTGCTAAAACCATTGCAGCTGTGATGGGACTTAAAGGTATTTGGGTCTCCTCAAGCCCCAGACCCTGGACAATGTCCCAAAAGGGCAGGAAATATGATGGAGTTTAGTGTGCAGCCCCACAGCAGCCAGCAAAACTTTTTTTGGAGGAGAGATATTCAACAGAGCATGGGAGAGGAAATCTCTAATGCCAGACTGCATAGCACTTTCTGAGTACCACAGTGATACCACAGAAACCTGCACCACGAGCTTGCAAAGAGTCTCTGCTACTGCCTTCAGCAGCTGAACCATGCAGAAAGCAAATGCAGCCTCACAAACACGGAGCTCCAGGGGCACCAGAATGGATGCAGTCATGGGATGTCGTATCTTGGAACCATTTACAGAATCATAGTCCTAGTTCTAGGCAGCAAAAGGGAAAACTCCTCTCAGGATATGTCATTTTTTATAGTGCTTCGTAAGGCAAGGGATTTGAGATGTGAGCAATGAAACAGAAGGAAGAAAACCATCAGCAAGTGGCACAGCTTATTTCCACCCTTACCAAGGCATGTCTGGCCATCAGGTCCGAGTGTCGTACCCGGGGAACACGTGCAGTCACCAGTGTCCAGGCAGGAGTCCTGGCAATCCACTACATCACAGATGTCATAAAAATCTAGGGCATGACAAGAACAAGGTCAGCACAAAGCCCTGAGCATGCAAGGAAAGCACAGGATTTGTCCCTTCAGCTTCCCACCGTGTGTGCATCCTGGCCCACATTGGGAAAGCTGACCTGCTGAAGCTGCTGAGAAACGATCAAGTTTAATTACTGCAAATCAGAGATGTAAATTTTGACTTCAGTAGCATGCCAAGGCAAGCCTCAGGGCCCACAGGGAGCATTAAATCACTGAGACCAGGTCAGCTGTGGAAAAATCCTGCTAGAGGAACAAAGCAGTGATGCTACAGACCACCACCTGGGGAAGCCAGGCAGGCTCTGGGGGACCAAGCGAGATGACTTACGGCCACAGTAGGCGTGGAAGCAGACGCTGGGCTTGGCGAGGTGGTACACGTAGTACCCTCCCGGGCAGGCCTTGACCTCGATGGTGGTGTTCCAGAGGCAGCAGTTGCCGCTGAAGCTGGCGCAGGCCTGGCGCCGCACGATGCCGTCGGCGGGGCGCGGGTGGCTGCCGTTCATCCACACGGGAGCGTGGGTGCCGCAGTGGTTCTCGGGGATGCAGAAGGTGGGCATGGCGTCGCCGGCCATGCCCGTGAAGCGGTACCACTCGCCGTCGATGCCGCTGTCGCAGGTGGGCTGCCCGTGCGAGCTGTTGATGCGGTGCTCCGTGTTCCTCCAGGGCTCGTTCAGGCTGATGTAGGCAGAGCAGGGGTCCAGGGCTGGGACACACACAGAAAGCAGCTGGTAGGTATCAAACCCAGTTGTTGATGGACAATTACAAAACTGTTTTTTTTTTTTTTTTTCTCTGTCCCTGACTTAACAGAACCATTGTGATCTGTTCTCACCCCCGAGGAGAAAATGTGATACCAGCAAACTCATTGTCTTGTGGAAAATCCTGACAGCTCGCCTGCAATGTCTTGGAAGAACAAGTAAATTAACAGAGCTCGTACAACATTATACAACAGTCTGACCTGCTGCTTAGCTGACAGGGAAAAAACAAGATATAAGCACATCTGAGGTCCAGGTAATGATTTTGCCATAGGAAATACACCCTGGGATCTAGCCTAGGACAACAAACCTTTGGTTCAAGCACTGAGCACCTGCAAGTTCCTCCTGAAGTCACTGGGAAGTCTCCCAGTTGGAGAAATCGACCACAAAACTGGTAAATCTCTCAGCCTTGGAACAAAGGACTATATCTCAAACAGTTCATGCAGCCCCTTTTAAAACCCACCCACAGCCAGTGTCGTTCATCCCTCACAGCTGAGCTGCCAAACCTTTTTAATCATTATCTTAAAATCTAGAGGGCATGAAGGTCTGGATTGGGGCCTTCTGAGGAGCAACACGTTAAACCCTCTACATAGCTGTGTTCTTGCATGCCCACAAACCCTCCTGTTCTGCACAGGAGATCACCTGTCTGTGAGTGAAGTGTTTGTGGGTGCAAGACATGAAAACTTTCTGGCAAGTGCATGTCTGTCCATGCAGTGCTCAAGGAGTGTGCCCCTTTTCAGAGGCCTTTCTGAATCTTCTGCAAATAATTAAAATATCAGAGTACCATAGGGAGAACATAAACGAAGAATTTAAGTGTTCATTAAATTTTCAACCTCCTCCTAATTAACCCTCATTTGGCAGCTTTGACACTGTAAGTCCAGAGGTTCCATTTTGCCTTACATTTAATACCTGATTAAGCATAACTTATCCATGACAAGCAAAAGGAATGTTAATACTGCCACGAGTAAGGAAAATTGATTATCATTTCCTAAAATTAGGCTAATAAAACCATTCACTCTGACAAAATACATCTTAGACTGGAACAACCTCAACTTTCCACAGCACATTTCTTTTGAAGTTCTAAAACTGTGCTGTTTTGACAATACTGTGATGGAGTTTGGGTGAGGGAGGAATACTATGCTCTTTCTATTAGAAAAACAAATGAGCCTGGTTCATTATTTTGATTTGTTTCACTGACTTTAAAGTGGAAGCTACAAGTGCTTCAGCGAATAGACGTAAATTTGTTCTTATTTAGCTACATCCTCTGTAAATATCTGTCCCTCAGATGTGCTATCTCACATATACAACATCTCTCATTCCTTCCTCAGCCACAGATACATTTTGCTGGGTCTCAAATCAAGCACAAAAGCAGGAACAGCTGCCAGAGTCAGGAGTGCTGCAGAGCTGGCACAGGGAGCGTGGATCTGGGCTATGAAGGAATCTCAAGTGCCACGATTCAGACACACAGAGGAGCTGATTCACTGCCACCACAACCAGCCTGGTTCTCCTGAGCAGCAGACAAGGGAATGCAACACATTGGAATCTCTGATGGGATCCACCAGGCATTCCTTCCTGAGGTCTCCTTTTCACCTGCCTCTGCTTGCCTGTCCTTACCACAGACAGCAGCAGCAGTGCTGTAGATCCCATCCTATAAAAGCTGGTTTGATTTCTCCCAAAAGGAAAATATAGAACAGAGCATCCTCTGGGCTTCCCTCAGTGTCATTCCCTTGGTTTCCACAAGAGGATTTGGTGTGGCCTTAGGGTGAGTCACTGACTGAAACAAAAAGGTTTTTGCAGTGTTAAAAGCCAAATGAGGTGAAGCAGGAATCCCCTGTCAGCTTTCCAGCTGGGCAGCACTAAAAATACCAACACTCTCATTAGCTTTCATGTAATTATGAAATATCCTTTGTAGACAGACTCTGGGAATGCTCACCTAGGGAGATTACATTGTCTCCTAAATTTAAAGGCAAAATTTAGTGAGATGAACATGCAACAGCTCAGAGGGAACTGGAAGAAGGCACATCAGGGGAATTGAGGTAGCATTCCCTCACATCTTTCATTCCCCTGAGAGCTGGCAGGAGTGAGGGGGAAGCAAACAAGCAGAAAAAACAGACAGTTCTCTTTGGAACACTGCACATCCTCATGGCCACTTTTGGACTGCCAGTGCTGCCCCACACCAGCATCCCTGTAGACACCAAGCAGTCTTTGGCAGCACAGTTTTTTTCATTTGAATTAATTAAACTGAGTTTTTAAGACAAAAATTCCACAAAAATAGAGAAGTGGCTGATCAGCCTCTCCCCTCAAACAAGAAGCTTGGGGATTTGCACAAAACTGTAACTGTAACCAGCTCACTACTTTTCATTTTTCCTGGCTTTTCCTCCTCAATGCTTCTTTCATGGCCAGAGCAATTGAGGCTGACAAGCACTAGCTTCGAAGCAAAGCTTTTCCATTTGTAAGCTTGGTGCTATCATTAGTTCTCTGACTGACATGGTAGCAGCTATACTGAGTGGAAAATCAGGCTCCAGCAAGCACTGGTGAGTGCCCCCCATCCTGCAGAGATGAATCCTGGGTGCATTGTGTAACTAGAGATCCTTCCTTCAGTACAACTAAGCAATAAAGGGAGCAGCACTACATTATGGCACTAAATTCAGTTCAGATTTGTCAAGGAAGCAGGAGAAAAGGCAACATAATGCCTACTCATAGAGTCTGTCCTCCAAAGGGAGAGGAAAATCCCACTGTGTCTTGGCAATAGAGGTTCTTCCAGCATGGGAGACTTCACACTCTGTAACAGAAGGATCTAACTGGAAGGAATTTTACATCACCTTCAAACTAAAGGGGTATTTCTCCCACTTTCCAATCTTTCACCTAAGAATACCAAGGCTCACCGTGAACCTTAGAGATGGCAAACAGAAATAAGTCAATGCCTCTTTACTCACCCATCGAAGACACTGGCTGGAGCTGAATGACAAAGTAAATACAGAAAAAGAAGTACTGGAACATCCCACTGAGCCAAGGAAGAGCCACCACTCAAGGGACAGAGGCTTTGAAGTCCTTGTACAGGCTGTGGCTCTTGCAGCCTTCCTCTCAGTGGAGCTTCTGACTCCAGGCTTCCAGAAGAGCAAGTGGGATTGCTCTCCTGGAAGTTTATCAGAGGAAGGAGCTGAAGGGACGTGGGCTACAGCTCCAGCCTTGACCTCCCCAGAGCAGCTCTGCCCCTTACTGACAGCAGGGATGTAGTCACTGATCAATCTTGTTTTTTGGACTTAACCTGCTATTGTTTTCTGCCCTGACTGCCCCACAGTGACACCTCCACTATCTTATCCAGAGAAGAATTCTAACCAGGGACACCCGGACATCCCGAAGGGGTGGAAAAGAAGAACAGATGGGTGCTTGTTATCTGTGCTCCTTCCACAAGTCACACTCCATGGCTCCCTCCAGGCAGAAAACACCAGCTAAGGAGCCTTAACTGCAGGAAATAGTGGCCAAAGGAGCAGCACTGATCCTTCCGAGAACAGATTGCAGAGGAGTGCCTGGAGCAGAGCTACAATGGGAACATCAGTCAAACTGAAAGACTGGGGTCCCACAGGGAAATGAGCTGCTCTTAGGCTACCCAGAGGCCCTTGACACTCCTGGCCACACAGCCTGACCACTGCAGCGAGATTATCAAACAAGGCAAGTAAAGACACTTTTCTGCAGTGCTCTTACAAGTCTCTTGTCTTGATAAAGTAAACCAATCCCAACGTTATGGAATTAATTTTGATGCAAAACCGAGCGTCTAAGAACCTCTCCTGACTAGTTCAGACGAAAGTGGGATAAGTCACAGGTGACAGCCACAAGCTCTAGATGCAGCTCACTGAAATGTATTCTTAATTACAGCAAACCCAGAAAGGATTCTTCCCTCCTACCCCACTCCAAGAGCTCTCCATCAGCAATGAGTGCAGCTGAGCCCCCAGTAATTACACAAACAGCCAAGTGTGGGCATTTCCCCATTCCCTAGGCATCCTGCATTTCTGCAGCAAGCTGGCCTAAGAAATGACACCAAACTTCAGATCCCAGCAGGAAAAAAAGTGTCTCCACTATGCTCATTTTATCCATGTTGAATTTGCACAAGACAGGGAGCTGAGTGCTTGTTTGTCTTGCAGGGACTGTACATTACAGAAAATTCTCAGTGGCCTCTGTTGGGGTGTGCTCCTCGGAGTGAAGGGCAATGGGCTGCTGTACTCCACCCCAGCACAGGAGTTTTTTCGTTGTTGATTGCTTTTGGGGACCACCAAAAAAAACCTCCAAATAAAATACTGTTATTGCTCCCATAAGGAAAGAAAAATATATAAATTCTTGTGGCTCTATTGTGCTGACAGCTGTGCAGTACCAGAAAGGTTTTTCCAACAACAGGAAAAGAGAACAGATTCACTACACAAAGCTATCAAGGCAGATAACCCTCAAAAGGTGACTATGTGAATTCCCAGAAGAGAAACTAAAATTGAACAGAGAATAATACAGCAAGCCACTGGAATTTCTATTTTGCCACTTTCCTTGAGAGGCTGGTTTGTACTTACGATGCCAGGTAAATAAAACTGACAAGCCTAAATGCAATGCTCTGTGTCACAGGTGTGTACAGTTCCCTGAACCATCTCTTCACCAGCTGCCTTTGTTTCGTAGCTGCTAGATGAGCCTGTTATAACAAGGTTTTGACAGGTACATGTAAGTGACTGACAGCTGACAATTAACACAGAGAAATGAACTGCAGCAAGGCAAATTGGAGCCTCAAAGGTGTCACCTACAGGCCCTATCAAGTTCTCAAAAATGGATTAAAGCAGGAGATGCCCCAGCATTCCCAGTGATCCCAAATCACCATAACATCTAATTGAAGGAAGTGGTCTCAAGCTGGAGAAGACAGTCTGCTACCTCTAAACATTTCCGGGAAGAAACACCAGAGGAAACTCTTCTATCAGCAGCTTCTCTTTGAAAGTTAATTTGGGTGACACTCACAGCTCCAATTCCCCCACAAACAATCTATGCCTCAGGGAGCTGTAACAGTTAGTGCTAAGAGGATAAATGGAGGGGAAAAAACCCTCCCTGCAAGGAGATGCTCTGGGAGAGACAGAATTCCAATAGGGCATTCTGTAGGACCTGCACTCTCCAGCAAATATGTTGCTCCTGACCTCCACATTTGCACCCCAAAGAGATGCTCTCAACACCCCCAAAAGAGTCAGGCTCAAGTTAGAATCTTTTAAAAGAAGCCACCAGTACTGTTTAAGAGATATGAAGAAGGAAGGCAAAATTAAAATATATGGCAGGAATTTTATTTTGGTACCCAAGAGGGATTTTCTAAACCTGCTACAAAGCCTGTGCATATCTGTTCTTAACACAAGAAAAATGCAGGTGGCAACCACCTTTGTGGAAGAGAGATCTCTGCAGGGCTTTACAATCCTCACACAAGAACTCAAATTCTTCAAAGCATTGGCTGGGCTGGAAAGCCTCATACAGTTTGTAATGGATTCGTGAATAAAAATGTTTCGGCATTTGCTGAGGTGGTCTTGGTTTTGTCAGAGCCGCCTCTCAGAACACAGCAATGCCTGGGAGGTGTGTGAAGCACAGCTCTGGGTGCAGGAACCTGCAACCTGCCTAGAAGGAGCAGGAAGAAGAGCTAATCAGCACTTCCTGCTGCAGGCAGGGAGGAGAATCTGGCACACAGGACAGGCTCCCTTGTCTGGGATTGATTGGAGGATGCACGTTCACAATAAGCCCTGACAGGCAGCTGAGATGGATTGCACTGAAGTCAAGGACTTGGAGATAGGCCTTGTTGCTGTAAACAACTTGTGCCAGGACTCCAAGCCAGTGAGAAGGGCTGTGGAGACAAGGGAGAGAGCACGAGCTGTGGGATGTGGGCAAACTCCACACAAGTACAACACTGAGAACATCACTCCTAGTTACAAGTAGCAGTTCTATTTCCTTCCCGTTAGTGGAGCACTGTGATACAGAACTTGGTGTTTGAGAGTGCTTTTCCACAGGTCCTACAAACCCAGCATATTTTCCATGCTCCTACATTTTCAGATGGAGGAATTAGGGCATAGACAGCACACCAACAACTGCAAAACCAGTCAGGGGCAGAAAGAGAAGCAGAAGTCATCTTTTAAGAGACCTCAGAGCCCAGCAGCACAGCCTAAGAGCAGTTCTCCCCTGCTTCAGGGCTTAGGTACACTGCAAGTCTAACTTTCATTACGGGATTTTACTTTTCATCCTTTTAAATGCCAGTAAAGAAAATAAGCTTAATGGGTTTTTTAAAAGGAACAATTAGCATCTCTTGGGATAGGTAGAAGAATACTAAAGATATAAAAATCTCCTTCCTCTGTGAAAATAAAGTATACAATGGGACACAAAGGAAAGAAGCTTGTTTATATAACTCCAGAGACACGAAAAACCCAGGGTGGTATCAAAGAAATTGGTCCACTGGCTCAAAGACGAGGTAGCTTGGCCAGCTTCACATGGCTGGCTCAGTGCCATGGTCTGACAGCCAACAGCAGCTTCAGAGCATCATGCAAACCCTCTTAAAGCCAATAGTGAAGCTAAGAACTGGCAGCAAGGTGATCATCATTGCTGCCTGCCAGGAAGGAAGGGTTACAGGGAGAAAGAAAAAGGGTTTCTTCTTTGCTCTTCAGAAAAGAGGAGCCATGAACAGCTTCCCTGGAGGGGCCTGCAAGGCAGACTCAGGGGTGTGGCAAAGGGAATGTAATGCAGTTCTCCAGGAAACTTTGAACTGGTCGTATGTTAAAACCCTAGATAGTAAGTGTTTTGGGCTTTCTATACTAGAAAACAAAGACCCTCAAGAGAACACTACATTTAACCTAAGGCCATTAAAAAAACGTCCATACATTTATTTGAAAACTCCCTCACGGAAGTGGTTAATCAAAAGAATGACAAAATCAGAAGAAAAAGCAGCACCTGAGCACTGCAATTCCTCACCAGGGCTGAGGAACGCAGTGGTGCAATAAATCCGGGCAGCTCTGCCTGCTCTGCAAGTGCTGCCTATCACCTGCCTGGCTCCCAAAGAGGAAATACCTGCTGCAAGAGTGTGTGTTGATGTTGAGATACAACAGTGTGGATCAGGAGAGTAAACAAACCCTGCCCTTCCCTTCAGTGTTAGCATTCCAAGGCACTGAGACTGGAGAGGGAAGCTTGTGGATTTCAGGACACAAGTGCAGCCACTGACCTTACTTTTATTACCCATCCCATCTCTAGAGCAACGTTAATTCATGTGCAGGAACAGTTTTGCAACAGCACCCTTTGCTTTCAAAATAGAGATGGTGGTAATAAGATGTCACAACATCTCTTGTTCTCCTGGATGCCAAAATGGATGAATTCTTATGCAACTGAGCCAAACAATTTACCTAAAGGTGGCAGCAGCTCACCTGGGGACAGCAGCAGACTAAGGGCTGCTTGGAGGAAGGAGGTCTGTCAGCAGTGATTAAAGGTAGTTGACAGCAAAGAGCTTCCAGCCCTTCCTCTCCAGCTTTGAAAAACACAAGAGTTGTTTTTTTTTTTCAAAAACTAGCTAACATAGATGGTAATTTTTTTAAGCAGCCCACAGGCAAGATGGAAACCTGCACTAAACATCTCATCCTAATAATCCACAAAGCATACTCTGCCGATTCCCAAAGGTAATGAACAAGTCATGTGTTACCATGACAAATCATTCAAGGGCCCAGGCAGAAAGGAACTGAAGCCTAACACCAGTTTTTCTCCAAAAAAACACATGAGTGCAATATGGAAATACACTGACACCACAGCTACCTCTTTTGGGTTGCTGGCTATTATCTGCCTATCTATATTCTTATCCTGCTACTATGCTGGCCAAACAAAGGAAGATCTTTGCTGGACCAAGTATCTCTACCTCTACCTCACCACCTCAACTGCTCCTGAATTCCCTGGGTTAGGCAGCCAGGCCTGGCAGCCAGATCTCCATCCAGGCTTCTTCAGGAAAGCTATTATCTGCATCACCACGGCCTCCGTGAGGTGACGTCAGTCAAGAAGACGCAACCTAAACAAAAAGAAATGGAGGAAACTCAGGACAGAGCTGCCACACAGGGAATATTCTCTTCTCAGCTGGGGAAAATAACATTATTCAAGAGCACTGATTCAAAAATTGAATAGTTA